TATATTTTAACTAGTTAAAGTATCACTTTCCCTTTTCCACAAAAAATATAAAATTATTGCTGATTTACGCTACCATTAACTTTATGAAATTTTAATACTTTTGTATATATTAGATATTTGCAAAGTACCAAGCACATCTTTAGAGAAAGAAAAGGTCAACTATTTGACTTCCTTTGTTTCTATGTATAAGTCAAGTCACATATCAAAATATGGTTGAAGACTACGGTACATCTACGTTTCTACGTACAAGTCAAGTCACATATCAAAATATGGTTGAAGACTACTTACATTGTGAGAAACGCATTTTATATAATAAACAAAAACAAATTAACTAATTGCGAATATCTTAACAAATAAAAACTATACAGCTAACCTTTATCAACCATGAAAATTTTTTATTTATTTATTTTTATTTTTTCTAAAAAATCTGTATATTCAAATTATATATTCTTCTCCTTGCTTAATTTGTTATTAATACTTAACACTGCTAACCTGGTGGCATGGAATTCAATTTCTCTTTTCTTTAAGAAAAATTTCAAACATAAACCGAAACAAAAAAAATTAATAAAAATAATAAAATTGCTATTAATTTGCTGATGCAGCGATCAGATAGTACGGCTAACGTAAGGAAACTTTGCCAAATGTATTTCATGTAATTTTGGTGAAATTCGTCGCTGCCGTATAAAATATTTTCGGCTTACAATTGCAACCATGTGCAGCTCGTTCGACAAGTACGAGTATGTGTTATGTGTAAAGTAGCAATGTATCTTACCTTGCTACAACTGCAGAGTCTATATTTCAGCAGATACAAATCACAGCAATTTCTTACTCAGTCAGCAGCACAAACATGAGGCCAAACAACCTGTTGCTGTAGGCTAAAGTTGTTTCTCAGCTCTAATAAGATCCAAAAGTGTTTCTACTTCAACACATACCCGCAACAGAAATATATAACTAAAAGCACTGATTCACTGATATGCTTAGATTAATCGCAAAATATAATCAAACCACGAGAAAAAACAAGTCAAACTAAAAAAATACAAAACCTAAAATAAAAATCATCAATTTGAGGTTCACTCAATTATTTTCAGCGAATTTTAATTACCAGCAATAAAACTCAGAAAAGTACGAATCAACAACTTAAATCTGTGAGTTTTATTTTTTGTTGGTATGCTTTTTGCTTTCTTTGATGTCAGGCAGTTAATTTAAAATTTTGGGCGGGTTGCAGGTGTAACGACATGTCACAGTCAGATATACCCGTACGTGGATGCAAGTGCCCGCATTCACCTCGTATGTGTTTGTCACTAACAACGTAAATAGCGAAATAATATTGTCATTTTACCGCATAAAGTCGCGTTAAAGCTTCTTCTGTTTGTGCTACGGTAAAAGTGTGTAAAGATACACCTTAAAGCCGCACATTTGAAATTAAATCTCACAGATACTTACTGATACTGATACACGCTGATAATATAAGTTTCAAAGTAGATACACACTCGCTCGCAGCATAGCACACACCAACAGCTATAAGCAGATCAGTTCACGTCATCGTCTCCGCCGTCGCCATCGCCATCGCCACTATCATCTTAAGCATCGTAATGAAGAGATTAGAAATGAAATCAAAATAAAATTAAATAATTAAATGTGGCTTTAATTGCAGTGATCTCATTTCATGCTGAGGCGGTTTTACCCACAATATGTTTCTTTTCAAACTGTAATAAACTTGTGCACATTACTATGATATGTGGTTTATGGTTTGTTTGTGACATTAACAGGTGAAATTTAAGAAATAAGTACACATGTCTCAAAATTTATTAATTTAATTTAGTATTTAAAATACTATAACTGTCATGCAAAATTGTCTGATTATGCTTTTTTAACAATTTTAAAAAAATTATGCTGAAATGCTTTAGACTTATTTAATAAAAGAACTTAACTTATAAAAAAAGCAACATTTAAATTTAATAACAAAATTGCTCATTTTAATTTTATTAATCAAGGTCTCTATATCCCATTACTACAAAGATAATTTTTATATTAATTTATTGATGAATGACAATTCGTTTACAAAAGTTTGGCGGAATACATTTTTCTAACACATTAGTTTGTATTACTCAAATATAAATTCGCTTTCATTTCAATCTATTATTTATACAAATCAAAACTCTTTCCCACAACATTCTTCATGGTTTTAAGATCTGTGAATAGATAGTAGGAGGTTCAACGGTTTTAATAAAAAAGCAGAAAATTGATACCAACTGATACTCAACGAACAGCAATACCATTCTTTACTCTGTTTAAGGCAAGTTAACATACAACCTTCATATGGTTTCCGCTGGATAGTTATTAACAAGTGATATTCGTTGGAGATCAGATCTGAAGAATACGAAATATGAGGGAGCAATTTGAACTGTTTTCGTATAATTCAGCAATTATTTTTTTCTCTCGATACGTGATCACTTCCTATTATCTTGAAGACAGAGCGCTTATTTTTCAATTCATTTTCATTATTCAGATTCAAAGAACAAGACTGATGGATGAGTAATTTAAAGAGCACTTTTTGATTTCATTCTTAAAATACAACAAATACACTCAATAATATTCTCTATTATATTCTCTATAAATATTTTTATCTTATAAACATATAGGATATATATATTTCTTATCTATAAACTGAACTTTTGTGTCTTTAATTGCTTTAGTTGAATTTGATTGATAACAGTTCCAAGAATCTTGGGATTCTTAAAATCTCGGGATTTTTAAAACCATTTCGAGCCGTTAATGCAACTTAAGAAAGTAGCAAAAAGTTTTGCTTAAACAAAAGTATTGTTACTGACAGAATATTATTGTTACTAGCAAGTAAGTGCTTAGGATATATAACCTGCGTGCGTAAGCAGATATGAAGGCCTTCCATAATCATTCCCAAAATTGAGATAATTTTTTTATTATATAGAAATATACAGTAGAAAAATTATAAACATATATTTAAATAAGTACAGAATGTATATATACATAATTGGAGGAAAAGTAATTAAAGAGAATTTTATAAATTGGTGATCTGTAGGTCAAACTGGAATAGATCTAGAGCTTATTCTTTGTATTTGTGAGGGTACATCGCACTTTCACATGTCTGCATATGATTGCTTACCGGAAAATTTCAAACAGTTTTTGCATGCTTTGTCTTAAAAACATATATTAGTGACATGTCAAATATTTATGTTTTTCAAAAAGGTTTTGTTTACATTAAACTAAAGTTGTAGTTTAAGCTGCTCTTTGTTTTTACCTAAAGATTTTTCAGGAAACTTATTGCAATTAATACTTTCATTTCAACTATCTATATGATCTTAACTCATGACTTTTTAGGGAAGGTTATTAACCTATACATTATAGTATTATGTATTGCTTAATATCAAAACAAGTATTAATATTTTCAACACATACCTAAAAGTCACTTTATTAATTGATATTTCCATCATTTATTGCTGACTTATTCACTAAACAGCATCATAAAAGACGACAAATTGATGAAATCTGCACCTGTCTTAACTAAACTTCAACCATGTCCACAGCCCAACCCACGACTAACCCAGCCACATCAACTTTTTTCGCTTAAAAATAAAAAAAAGAAAAACTTATGTAGAAAGATTCCACTTTCAGCTTTCTTTATCCTTAACAACGCTTTTTATTAATAATTTATATATAGTATATTGTATTTTTTATTTTTCATTTTTTAATTTTCAATTTATTTATTTACTTTTGTTTTTGTACGACTTGTTTTGGTCGTGGTCTGAGCTTAGCCTGGAAATGTTGGCTTGTTAGGAGCCATGCCAAAAATTATTAACACTGACTCAGTTAAACGCATTTCACGTTGCGATTGAGACGCATTTTTTATGAACGAACTGTGCTAAGAGTGATACTCGAATATCATAAAAGAGTTTAGATATTATATACAAATTCATGTGTTATATATACTAAAATTTAATATGTTTATAAATTAATTTATATTTGCATTCAGTTGACGTCAATTCAGTTGAAAAGAACAGTTTTATAGATTCGTGAAATGTCTCCAATGCCATGTTGTTGATTTGCTTTGACCAAGCCTCGACTTGTTGGTTATAATTTGTCTTGATAATTGAATGATTTTGTGACACAATATTGTCAACAAATTTATTTCAACTCACGCAATTCTTGAAATCTTTAATTCTTGACGTTTCTGAAGAGGTGAACAAATAAAACAAGTAAATCGAAAAGAATTTAGTGCAGTTCTTGCGATCTGAACATTTTTAAAACTGGCTCGACTACTGATTTCTTTTCTATATGCAAATTTTTGTAAAATGATTGGTTTTTCGTTTTCGCTTCAGTATCCGCATTCAGCTACTCATAAATAATATAAATCATTAACCAACTCTTGGAATATTATTGAAAATAATAATAAATTAATTACTGGAAAAAATATGCAAATTTGTATATTTTTAATAATTCTTTTAAGTGGTTAAAATTTATAATAACGATAAACGTAAACGTAAACGTTAACGTAAAGAAAATTTCTAAAATGTTTTAATTAAAAACCAGTATGTGTCTTAAGTCTTTTGTTCTTCTGACGTATATGCCAGTGTATATGTAGAAAAGAATATTATTAAAAATTTGAAAATATTTAAAAATTTTTATAAAACTGAATATATAAGTAACTTAAGTCATAATAAATAAGTGTTAATAAAGTAAAACTTAATGAAAATATTATATAGTGAAATAAGTAAGGTTTGTAAGCAACGTGCACTCAAGCATAGTCTCATATTTCTGTATATACACGTACTTGTGAACATTTAACATTTAAAACTTTTAAATATTTGACCTTAAAAATAATATTAAAAAAATACAATTCATTTTAAAGTTTAAACTCTTAATTAACGAGCGCTTGAGTTTTTATTGGAATTATAAACACTTTGCAGCTAATAAACCCATTTCTCACCTTTTAATCGGCATTTTTCTTATTTTTGTACTTTCAGATGTAAGCCGTTAAGCAGAACTTCAGATTCAACTGATTCAACTGATTTTGTGCAACTAAGAGGGAAATAATATAAACAAAACTCCAGAGATTAAGCTGCAGTTACTGATTATCTGATAATTAAAAGTTTCGTGCCTTAAAAATGGCGCTACGTCTGCGTCGCGACGTACAGAAGGCGTCATATTATGTTTGGTTTTTGGGTGCTGAAGAAGCAAAAGGTTTACGCGGCGCTCGCGTTATCAATTCTGTCTTACCCTATTTGATCGATAGGTCACGCAGTCAGGAACCATTAAAAGTGACGTTGCAAGTCTCACATAAAGGCATCAAAATCTTACAAGTAAGTTATTTATCACACTAAACATAAATTCATTATTTTATTGTACCGATGATGTAAATTTGTATTGCAATAATGATTTCAATTATGCAAACGTTCATTTTTTAGGGTTCCTCGAAACATTTCATACCACATAGTGCCATAACTAGTTCCGTGCAAACGGATGATATAGTCGCTTGCGTATTGTTATTATACAATCCCGCGACCAAATGTCCACTGCATGTGCATGCTTATCGTTGCGATTCTGAGTCCACAGCGGAGGCTCTACATCAGCAACTGCAAATTCTTATAAATAGACCAGAAAATCAAAAGCGTTTTGAGGAACTAGAAACTAGGTGAGTTGTAAATAATATTTGTTAATTGACAAGAACTGAAAACAAGCACTTTATTATTATTGTTTTTTTATCTTAATTAAGTGATTTATTATTACTTATTATTTTTAATAACTTTAATTTAGTAATGCTTAATAATATTACTATAACAACAATTGCTCAATATATATTTAGCATACGCAATAGATCAAAAACAAGATCAAGTAGCTCAAGAACAGTAGATGTGAAACAGATAATTATATAAGTAAACTCAAAAATTCCTATTTAATTTGAATTTTAGGTCACAATAATTATATAAGAAACCAGATACTACTGTTATATATCACGCTACACAGTAATTTTGGGTATTGAAATCACAATATCTTCTTTTAAACATGTTATAAAAATCAAAGAATTACTGACTGGCAGATAAAACCATCTAATTACATATCAATCTATTATTATTATTTAAAAAGGGATAGTGCACTGCGACCTAAAAGATCTATTGTGCCACTTAGTCGGATTAGAGTGTTTGTCCAAGTCCGATTTTTTAATGAAAGACAGTATAGAGCCTATCTTTCCTAGTCTTGAGTCCTTATGATCTATAAAACACCCTAGGTGTTTCTTCCGCTTGTGCATCAATGCCGGGCACTCTCCAAGCACATGGTATGTAGTTTCTCTCTCTACATTTGAATTGGGCTATTAATGAAGGCCTGGGTAGTTAGGGACTTTTGTCAGATAACAAAATTCGTACCACTCAGCTTCTTTTACTAAAGCAAAACCAAGAAACCAACTTAGTACTACAGTTTTGGCTACTTTGCCATATAATGACTCTTATCGAAGTTGTGACTCAGCGAATGAAGAATACTCTGTACTACATCTCATGAGTCAGTGCTCATCTTAGGCTTGTAGAAAATTCAAGACCTTTGAAACACATTCTCTTAATAACCTAATGCAGCTGTCAACCTTGCAAGCCAGGGACATAGCCAAATTTGTAGTCTTGTCAGGTTAGTAATATCAGGAAATAATAATAATTTGAATATATATAAATCGAAGTAGTATTGTTTTTTTAAAAAAAACTATTTATGTGTACATAACACTTCTTAATTTACTGAATTAGCATATCTAAATTTGGTATGCTTCTGTACTTCTTTGTGATACCATCAAACCAAAGTATTTCTAATTATACTTAACTGTTTTTATTACTAATAAACTTTTCTGACTTAAGCATTAAACGATTTTAATGAGCATTTTTCATCGATTACCATTTTATATCGCTAGACATTGCTAGATATCAATAGTTAGACAGATAATAGATAAAGTCGCAATAGATTTTACTGTATGTATGTCAATTTACTTTTTTTATTATTCTATGCTCTATTATTTATTATTATACAGAAGTAATTGTCTACTCAGTTTGGTTAAAAGATAAGTGTTTTGAACATAATTTATTAGCTCTTTCGAAATGATTCTTATTCACTAAATACACGCAAACTGAAGGCTTCTTAAATATTTATGCATAAACTGCTTACTTAACGAATTAACGATAATCAATAAGATTTTATTAGCTAATTAAAGTACCGATTTTAAATTGATTGGTTTATGAATAAAGAAGGTAATATGCAATTTGTGCAGCTGTTAGTTAGAATTACCAATGTGAAGAATTCTTTTCTATTCAATTGTACAAAAAGTCATGGACTCAAGTAGAAAGCATATAAGGCAATGTACACCTTCTAAATATATTGACTTATAAAAATTTAATCCATAGGGTGATTCCTCCTTAAATAACATGAAAATCATTTACGGAGATCTATACAATAGCCTTCACTGAAAGAAAATTTACTATAACAAAAAGATGGCTGGTAAAGCAATAAGACTCCTTCGTTGTTGTTGTTGTTCTTGTTGTAACCCTCTGGGAATTGTAAGCAGACAACATGTAAGAATACACAAGACGATTACATGAATAGGGAAGTGGGAGGGTAGAGATTAGGGGAGATAAAGGGAGAGGAAGGAGGATGTGAAGGAATTGGGTGGGAGGTTTATATTGCACACTATCCCGAATCTAGGCGGAGAAACTTGGCCACTACAAATACGTGAGTCCAAAGGTTAATTGAAAGAAGGTTTGTGTTCGTCTCCTACTCTGCTGACGTTTTTAACCATGTACATTAAAATAATAACAGTCAGTCTTAAAAAGACGGGTGTGTTTATAAAACGGCAGCGTTGTGCTACTAGCGGAAGAACGAGAGCTTAACTGCCACTAAAACGAGACTCCAAATCATAGTAGAGCGCTCTTATTTAGGTTATTTTTGTAAATATTTTTAAAATAATCATTTTCTATTAATTTATCTAAAATTTTAATATTTTATATAGCATTTAAGCAGAGAAAAATTGATATGAGTAATATCATATATTTTACTTTAATTTTACTTTAATAAATTCTGATTATTATATTACATATTCAATTAAAATCTTAATAAATATTTTTATATAATTTTAAATTCCACCTGAAATGTGGAAGTAAAAAGTATGGGAGTGACTTGATTATTATGCATCAAGTAAAAATGTAAAAAAAAATTAATTTTTCTTATTTTTTATTTTAAATTTTAAGCAAATTTCAACAAAATTGATAGTGAAAGTTTTTAATACTAAACAAATTATTTTTTAACAAAATTTTGCATGGTTGAAACATGAATCAATCAAAAACTTATTATAAAGTCTGAGTGTCTGTATTATATCATATGCGTATGTTAATCTACAAATATGCGCTACTATATCTACAGATACTTCTTCAAGAGGCGGTAAAAAATTTGAAAACTTTAAATTCATTAATTAATGCAAATGAATGCAATAAGCAAGCAAATCAATTTTAATCGCAGCTGCTGTAAACTTGTTACTCAAGAGTTTTCATTAATCTAAAAAATTAAGCAATGGAAATTAAAAGTTTTACATATTTGTAAAATTCAGCCACAAAGCACTTTATAAAGCCCTACAATTATTTTTATTATCAATAAAAATTTATATACATAAAATTTATTTAAAATATGATAGTTCATATATATAACAGTATTCACCTACCCTTTGAAAATTAGCCAAATAGTTGTATAAATATATGAACATCACCAGGAACATGGTGAAGTGGGGGATCAAAGAATTTTTTTATTTTCATTTGTATAATTTTTTTTTTTTTATTAAATTAATTTAATTTTTAATGACTGATATTTTGCTGATAAAATATATCTTTCGTCAGATTTTAGAGGGAGGCTATGTCTATAAATAAATTTAATACGAATGCACATATTTGTACGTAGTTTGCTTCTATTAACTGTAATTTTTTCTCTATTTGCATTTAAACCACTCAGTGCAACAACGCATTAACGCAATCCGTGCTTATTTCAAAATGCATTTAATATGCATTTTTATTGCAGACATAAAACTGATCATGTAAGAAATTTATGAAATGCATTTATGAAATAAATGCTAATGTTGTAGATAATGATGCTATTGCTGTTGTTGTAGTTGCTGTTACTGTTACAGTTGTTGTCTTCATCACTGGAAAAGTATCTCTGTTGCTGATTACAATTTACACAAATTGCAAATATGCGTAGATATTGCAACTAAGATTGCCATTGCAAATGTTGTACTACTGAAATGCTCTTGCATTTGTATCTACAAGGAAATTCACATGAGACAATTTGACATGTGTAGAGAAAAGAAAAGATATTCAAATTGACATTTTTTCCAGCTGCGTTCATTCATCAACTGCAGGCAGCATCTGACTGCATAATTGCTGCACTCATAATACGGCTTATGCAATATTTTGCCTTCGCCTTTGCGTTTACTTTTAGATATTTACGAATATTGCAGATACTCGTAGCATGTTTGCACACGATTTATGTCTATGAGTATATCTATGAGTCTATGAGTATATATATAATTGGTACCGTAAAGAAAAATATTTTAAACAAAACTTAGTAGACGCTTACGCACGAGAGTGTTTAGATATTAGGTATAAACATCATAAAATTAAGTATATATTTTAATATAATAATATTTACAAGTTAATGCCATTCTTTAGAAAGTCAAATCAATACAGTCAAAATAATAGTCAGTAAAATGGAGTAATAGATTGTTGTGAATCTGTATTATATAGTATAAAAAAATATTATTAGTAGAACTAATTCCTTTTCTAAAAGTAGTTACTGTGATTAATTGATTTGGTGCAGAGGTTAAATTTGGTCAGCAGACATTCAAAATTAGCCATTAAGCAGAGATGAGTAAGACTCCAGCCATTGTATTAATTTATGCAGTTTAATAGATCTTTAGCGTTTAGCGATGAGTAGTGCAACAAACTACCTATCTAAAGTGTTCTGTAATAAAAACCGGGTAATCACAGTAAAAAATGTCTGATCGTTTATTATTCGTATTAGTAGCCATAACTTCTTCTACAGTAACTGTTATAAGTAATAGAGAGCTTCTATTAATGGATTTCTATGCTCTGGTTCCCTGACAGAACTACAGTCAATTCTGACATAGAATAATTAAAAAAATCTTTATATAAAAGTGCACATTTTTTTAAAGTTATCCTTATTTTATTAGTTTAAACTTCTGATCATGGCTATACTCAGACTCGAAAGGAATGAGGATATTGTGCTGATATACTCATATGACATTAACACTTATATAGTGTAGAACCTTTAATACTCATATTAAAATTGTAACTATAACATATCTTAAAATTTTGTAATAAAAATGTGAAGTTTTAAGAAACTAAAGTCTTGAAATTCATAAAATATACCCCGAATAACTTCTCCTGAATAATGAAATATAATAATATGAAATTCGTTCTTTATGTACCTATATATTTACATATGTAGAAGAATTAATAATAAAGTTATAGAATAAATAGAAAAACTATTGAATTCTTTTCAAAAACGTGATTAATCATGAAAATACAAGATAATAGCATTGCTATTCCTATTCGCATATACTCACAATTCCGATTAAATTATCCCTTATAATTTAATATTCTATGGTCTGTCATAATATATTCTGTATATGAGCAAGGATATTAATTTTGCTCCTGAACGTTAAATGATTTAATATTCTATTGTCTGGCATAATATATTCTGTATATGAGCAAGGATATTAATTTTTCTTGAAAATTTTTTTTGTAAATATTGTGTGCAAATCGATCATTTTATACACTATATTATTTCTGACAACTTTGCTACAGAAAAATTTCCAGTCTCTTAATAATAATAGTTTTAATAACCAGTACATGCTTACTGACTAATCATCATAATATATTCAATAGAGTAATTAAAAATTTCCAAATAATTATTAAAATTTTAAATAATATAATAAGTTATAAATTAAGACTTTTTAAATTATTTAAATAACGATCTGTGCTATAGAAAATAAACTATTAAAATTCAAAAAAAAAATGAAAATATTTAAAATGAATTAATTATGAAATAATCACATATAATTCTAGCTTTAACTTCAAAATATTATTAATGACTAACCAACTAGAGATTATAAAAATTGTATATGAAAAATAACGATGTACAAATAAATACAAATCAAATTTACATTCGCTTCTCTATAGCAAATATGAATATGAATATAAAAAAATATATAACTATTTTTATACATTTACATATATACATAATGTATTCACTTTAGCTGTGTTGAAGGTGTAGCAAATATAGAAATATGAAGACTCACCCATAAAAATGACAGATGATAAATAATCGCGATCATCAAAAATTCTGATCTAAAAATGTCAGAATATTAAAAAATATAGTTTTTATGTAATTTTGAAGCAATTTTTCAATTATAAAAATTTAATGGTTAGATACAATTACGAACTTTATAAATTTGAATTTAAAAAAAATTGGTTATGAAACTTTATTTTACAGATACAATATAAAATTATAATACTAATAATAAATTATAATTGCACTTATTTAATTTCTTACTCACATTTCTGTACCAAGTTCTTGTATTCAAACCACGTTTGCATTTGTGTATCTACACCATTTGGCCGAAACGGTCATAAAATTGTAGCTACTACCTACTCAAAATTGTAGCTACTACCAAACTGCCATTACAGTTACACTTTTCTAACGAATTTCAATACTTTCAGATTGGGCATACTGCCACCTTTACCTTTGTCCAGCAATAAATTAACCGCTTCTAACAACAACAACGAACACAGCCAGAAGCAAGTCTTTCAGTCACAACACCAACAACAACGGCAGCAAACACAACAACAGCGTCGGCATGAAACATCACCTAAACGTTTTAGTTCATCACTTGGCAGTGACAACAGTACACGTGAATCCGAATATAGCGAGGAACATAGCAGCGGCTCACCAATATCACGCTCACCACCAATCGTTAAACCATTACCACAACCGACCAATGAACTATTTGATTCATTAGCTGCCGAGCTGCGTGCTAAATTAAATGGCAATGGTCCTCCGTTGTTATTGCCCCCACGTGATTATGATACCGTACATCGCTCTAAGGGGAATCTAACAGCAATTGAATTGCGTCGTTGTCGGAATGCATTGATTGTGGGCGGTCCGACAGTTAATTCTCCAACAGCGCAAACTGCAGCTACAAATGGCAAACAAGTATCATCACGTGGTTCATCTGGCATCGGTTCTGATTTAGCACCTAGCCCAGAGCGTCAAGAACTAAATAGTTCAAGTGGTAAGCCATCAATTTCATTTATATAAATTTATGTTATATTTTAATATTTTTAATGTTTTTCCAGATGATGAACACTGGTCAAATGAAGCAGATAACTCTGTTATTGCTTTGAAACCTTCACAAATACCTGTTGAACGTTCTATACCAATTATACCACATCATCCACTACTGAATCGTAAAAGTGCTATACAACCTCCGGAGGATAGTTATTTACGCGACTTACCAGCTAAACCATACGCGCCTCGTTCAACTACAAATAACAACAACAGTAATAACAACAATCGCGACAAAATAGTCTCAAACCGAATAATTAATGAACGTGAACAACGTTCAAAGACTCCTTCATCTACTTCTTGGTCTAAGGAGGATGAAATTAAGCCCATCATCATGCGTCCTGCTGATTACGATGCAAAATTTAATCGTGTCATGCAAGCCGAACAAAAGCCCGAACATAATCGCCGTCACGACGCAACCCCAAGGGAACATGCTAAGTTGCATGATACTGATAAATATAACGAAATTAATCGCTTGCTGAATAAAAAATTGTCTTTAGAGCAACGACCCAAACATAAAAGTAATGAAGTTGAAGATTTCGATGATTCTGATCCTTCAATTGATCAAGTACCGCCACATGCACCATCTAGTTATCGCAAGGAAAATCTAACAGATAAGCAGAAATTTTTGGAATACAATTCTAAAAAGCAAACTAAATCGTATGCCGCAGAGGAGGTACAAAGATATGGTGGTCGCCATAGATATGTTGATCCAGCTGATTTACCATTTGATCAACCAACACATAACAAATATGCTGCTGTACATCACACCACTCACTCACCAGAACGTGCACCGGTTGAACCTGAACATCGAAATATCTCACGCGAAAAAGAACGCTACAGAGAACGTGAGCGCGAACGTGAACGAGATAATGAACGCGGACGCGATCGAGAACGAGATCGTGAACGTGAACGAGAGCATTTCTCACGCAGTAACGAACGCAATCCCTATCGCGAACCAGAAAGCATACCTTACATACAAAGCATGGAAAAAATGATGAAATCCTCCGCTATGCGTTATAAATCATTCGAAGGAGTTTCTGAATCTGTCCCTTCAACTAAAGAAGAAGCACACACAAAAGTAAGCCAACGTAGCAAGTCATATCCAAAGAACGATGATGACAAGATAGAATATAATAGAGGAAGATCAGAGTATGCAGCATCTGCAAGCAGTAATGTTTCACCAAAAGAACGATTTAAGGATGCAAAAGATAAGTTTCGCGCAATGGAACGTAATGGGAGCAGATATGATTTAGCAGATGAACATGACGGTTCAGAGTACAAATCACGTCGACATGGTTCAAGAGAACGGTCTGATAAAATACGTACTTATGACAATTGGAGTGATGATGAATATTTAGATGATGCACCACCAGCACCGGTTAGTAGATCACGTAGTCAATGGGAACATCAAAGTAGTAAATCTCGTGATCGAACAGATTTTGCACGCGAAAATTCTAGAGAACACATAAGAGAACGCGAACGTGATACACGAGATCATAGAGATTATGGTCGCGATAATCGGCAGCGAGAGCCTTCTAGCAAGCGTTCTGACCCAAAAGACATACGTGAATATCCAAGAGAACCATATCGTGAACATCGTTACGAACAACGCAGTACGCCACGAGATGCTGCACCCATACGAGAACACAAAAGGGACTCATCACGCGAATATATTAGGGAGCATGTCAAACGCGATTACTCTCCAGATGCTCGTTCTGATCATCGTTCAGATTATACTGTTCGTTCAAATGAAAAACAACGTTTAGCACACCCACATTCCGAAAAATATCCATCTTCGCCGCCAAGCAATGGAGCGCCTATTTCAAATGGTAAAAATCTTTCTAATCTTAATAAAGGTTATCGTCACAGTTATGCAGAACCTGTTTTCGCTCGTTCAGGCGGTCGAGTGGGTTTGGCTGCTGTTAATCCCTATTGAATATAGGTGCAGAATTTAAATGGAAAACCTTTATTATACAATAAGTTTATAAAATATAATACTAATCACTTAAATGTTTTAAACTGTAATATAGAATCTGAAAAATATTTTACAATTAAAAGCAATCTAATTGTTATTATTTGATTCATTTATGAAATTATATATTTTATATATATTATATTTTCAGCAGTAAAAAATATTTAATATAATATACAATCTTTAAATGTGCCTTTTGAAGTAAATTGACTTTTGAAATTTTGAACAAATGCAAAATTTATTAAAATAAATTTATTAAAATTATATTATAAAATATATGTTAGTTATGTAATTCAATTATTAAAACCTATTGTAAAATCTTATATTATTAATTTGGTTGTTTGTTAATTGAAAATTATAACAAAAACAATATACATATATACATACCTAATACAAATGTCATATAATAAATAAATATTGGATAAAAATACTTTCGTAAATTGTTTTTAGGCTTTTGCGAAGAACAGTTTAAAATTATATTTTTAACGTATAAAATGTTATAATAGAAAGAAAGCATGTCATTTTTTTGACTAAATTATGTTATGTAAAAATCTACATTCCCTTTTGTTATCATTTTAATTTGTTATTTTTAATGGATGTAGTAATGTAAATAATTTTGAGTAAGTATAATCTGATTTTTCCACATCTATTGCTCTTTGGAAAGGATGTCTTCTTTGGTTTCATATAAGTGATATATATGTAACAATATATCTTTGATTTATATATATATATATATATATATATATATCATATGCACTATTCTTATTTCTCTTTCATTTTATTTGTATGTGCTGAGAGTAAAAGCAAATCTGCATTATATTCACACAAAACTATCAACTGAAATCATATTTTATGTCAAGATTAGTTGAACCATAGAAAATAGAACAGTGTCAGTGTTAAAAATATATGCTCCGCCCTCCATAGAAGCTTATTCAGCAGAAAAATATGATATATAATATGATATATATACTTCTTAATGACTTTTAAAAAACTAAAGAAATTGAATGGTTACAGGCTCCTCGCGGAGAGGTATGCAGATCTGAGGTCAATTATTACTTAGTCTGATGATGAGATAAATAATAATCCAGTCAAGGCGCAAAGAGGGGTTTTGAAGAAACCTCGCAGTTAATATAGAGTAAAAGTGCTCTGGTGCACTGACTCAATTTTCCTCAACATAATAATAAAAAGCAAAATAATTTAATACCAAGTATTTGGATACTTCAGTTAATAACATGGTCTCCTTCCCAAATATTGACCCACTATCTCTTAACCTGCTTCAAGTAATGATGAATAAGCACTTTCAATTTTGCGATATATTTATATAAGATTCTTTCTTTTACTCTTTTAATTTCACTCCTCAGCCTTGGCTATTTTATTCAAAATCGTGAAATCCATTAACAAGACTAAGTAAACGAAATTTGAAAAATTAAAAGTTTTTTCAAATCACTGTTTAAACATTGTTAATCACTTTGCAAATGCTAATTTTTTTAAAATCAGAAGTAGAAAATAGTAATTATATCTCAGATACAGATTTATTTTGGTTGCTATACATGCAGTCAATTGGGCTCGCGTGTATTGTTTCTAATATTGGAATATGAGTCCATTCAATCTTGTCACAATTCATTTCTAATAAAGTAATCAAAATAATTTGTAGTATCACTAGTTATTGCTGTCAAAGCCGACTTGATATAATTTATCATTTTACAACACTGGTTTATAATTATGAAGATGACAGCTTGACGTTTTGTAAAATCTTGTTTTCTATTGTTTGCTGCGTGTTGTACTTCTCAATTATTTTACCGGCTCCAAATTTTTAAAATGTCATTAAGAATTGGTAAATATAAAACTATTCTGTACTGCAACTTATTAATTTATACAACATTTACCAAACTTTACAGCATCAGGCGGATCTGTGCCCAAAAAGACCAAAACTGAAAATGGTTTGGAACGAAGTTCAGATGATGGTTTGTAACTGAATAATGTATATATTGTTTTAAAGTATTTATTCAATTTAATAAACTTATTTTAGAATTAGAAACACCTTCAGCATTTAATCCAAAATATCGCGTCTGTCCATATTTAGACACGATTAATCGTCCTTTACTGGACTTTGATTTCGAAAAACTTTGTTCAATTTCTCTAACACGTATTAACGTTTATGCCTGCCTTGTTTGTGGTAAATATTTCCAGGGACGCGGCACAAATACACATGCTTATACGCATTCTGTGTCAGAAGCGCATCATGTGTTTCTTAATTTACAAACATTACGTTTTTATTGTCTGCCAGATAACTATGAGATAATTGATTCGTCCTTGGACGATATCAAATATGTCTTAAATCCTACATTCGTCACACAGGATATACGAAATCTAGATCGGTCAGAACCGAAATATTCGCGTACAATTGACGGTACATTATATTTGCCCGGTGTAGTAGGTTTAAATAATATTAAGGCAAATGATTACTGTAATGTGGTTCTACATGCACTTTCACATGTGGGACCCTTACGGAACTACTTTCTGCGAGAACAAAGTTACGCCCGCATTAAACGCCCACCGGGTGATTCTATGTTTAATTTGGTTCAACGTTTCGGTGAGTTAATGCGTAAAATATGGAATCCACGTAATTTTAAAGCACATGTATCACCACATGAAATGTTGCAGGCTGTGGTTTTATGGTCTAATAAACGTTTCCAAATCACTGAACAAGGTGATCCAATAGACTTCCTTTCCTGGTTTCTACATACGCTGCATCGTGCAATGAAAGGTAACAAAAAACCAGATTCGTCTATTATATATAAAATATTCTTAGGGGAAATGAAAATCTACACTAGAAAAATACCTCCAGTGGATTTAGACGACACACAAAAGGCGCTACTTCTAGCTACTGAAGAGTATCAAGTAAAATGCGAGGAATCCAATTTTTTATATTTAACGTGTGACCTACCGCCTCCGCCATTATTCACAGATGAATTTAGGGAGAATATTATACCCCAAGTAAATTTATATCAATTATTGGCAAAATTCAATGGTCAAACAGAGAAGGAGTACAAAACATATAAGGATAATTTTCTGAAACGTTTTGAAATAACACGTTTGCCACAGTATATAATTTTATATATAAAACGTTTTACGAAAAATACATTCTTTTTGGAAAAGAACCCCACTATAGTCAATTTTCCAATTAAGTAAGTGTGACTTGTGAAGATAATTTTGTATATTTTAAATAATTTTTGATTTTTTAATAGGAATGTGGACTTCGGCGACATACTTTCGATGCCAAATCGTGACCAAATCAAGGATACAAAATATAATTTGGTTGCGAATATAGTACACGATGGTGAACCTAAAAAAGGCACTTATAGAGCACATATATTACACAAAGCTAATAGCAAATGGTATGAAATGCAGGACCTACACGTAACTGAAATTTTGCCACAAATGATAACTCTAACGGAGTCCTATATACAAATTTATGAACGCAGCGATGATCAATAAAAGCGCCCTGAAAGTAGAATACAAACAGAGTTTCGCATTGCTCTTTAATTGGAATATTGTAGGATTAAAAAGGAAATAATTATACAATAAATTTTTAATAATTTTAATTATAAAATAATTTGTTTTCCAAATTAAATATTTAAAGCATTACTAAATGCTTATTAGCATTTATTTGAAAATGGTGCTACTGCACATGCTCAATTGTTCGAGACTCGCCTACAGGGTTTTGACATTAAAAACCTTCAATGTTACTGTTAAATCCATAATTAGCATTGGGTTTGTGAAAAATAAAATCGATTTTAAAAATTTAAAACGTCATCAATAATACAAAAATAACGTTAATATATTTTTATTTAAACATTTAAGTTAATAAAAGCTTATAGAAATGGCGGAAGGCACTTATGAATATGAATGCATGAGAGCTGAATTGCTAGGTATTGATAAACCAAATCAAGAAGAATTCGAAAAACAGCGTACTGAACGCCTCAAACAAGAACAAGAGGAACAGGATGCTGCTGAGGCAGAAGTAAGCAAATATTTTAATAGGCTATTTATTTTTTTATTTACATCAATGAATACACTCTACAGCTTTTGACACAGCAAGAGGAAGGCTTGAAAAATACAGGTGGTAAATTAGATGAACTCAATAGTATTCTATCATCCACACAGCAAAAAATTAATCGATTTAAGCAAAGTGCTTGTGGCAGTTTGTCGAATATATTCAGTAGAGGTGGCTCTGTGGACGTGGCAAGTGATGCTACGCCAAGTACTTCGAATACAGCCAGTCGACGCAATACTACGGCAAGTGGTGAAGGTTTGAGGGATTCCACTGATATTAATACGGCCTTAAACAATTTAGACGAAATGGCACAGAATAACAGTAATGCTGATATACAGCCTGTAATTCCAACTGAAAAGATACGTAATGCTAAAATGGATATACAAAAGAAAATGACATCACATTTAGATAAGCTGGATTCTTTGCTTAATAAAGCTGAACATGCTGAAATCTCTATGACGGAACAAACTAAAGAAATGCGTAGAATGGCAAAGTAAAAAGTGAATGGATCACAATCAAATAAGGAACAATATCAATCATTACACGTCTAGTGCTTTACTAATAAGAAGATACACGAATTTTACTTAAAAGGATCTATATACGTATCATATCTTACATTATAATGTGTACACGCTAACTAAAGTTACCTTTTTAACATTTGTTGTTATTGTAGCCCAAAGTAAAGATACATCTATTTTTGCGTTAGATGCCTCCTATTTTTGTTGATAATCTGTTAGAGGAGCTAAAATAGATATATAAAGTCATAAGTTATTGAACATTCCGAGACATCACGTGAAACTATTTTTAGATTTTTATATTGAGTGTTACACGTTTAAGTTTCTCTTACAGAGATATTAATTTTTTTCGTGAAATTAACCATGTATTCATTACCACCGCAACGTTATAATATAACACCAACTTATATATTTTTTGAAATATACATTATGGTTGATGTGATAGTACATATGTAGTTTGTCGAAAGTTAAAACAATTCAATAATATATAACTCAATTTTTTATATGTATTAAATTTGATTCACTATATGAATCCCATCGTTAAAGTAAAAGTGTTCCAATACGCAATATACCTGCAAATCACTTGAAATAAAATAAAATATTATATATACATATACCTAACAATGCTCATGTCGTGCCAAGAACATGTATTATGATTTTGTCGACAAAATAAATTACAATAGTTCACATATTAGATAACATAATCCACTCTAATATATTTGAGACAAGTATCTAATATTTTTCGCTTTTGTAGAATGGATATTAAGATGTTTGAAAACGTCCTCTATTCCTAACAACATATGAAATAATACAAAAACGTTAATAAAAAAAATAATAATCAACTCCTCATCCAATAATAAACATTATTAATTAAAAATAATCTTTTTTTAAATATTTCACAACAAATCAACAAAGTAAGCGGATAAAAATCTTGAAGTTGTTAAAAATCGGAATCTAATTTTAATTTCTGTCAAGAACAAATTTGATTTCCTGCAAAACTAAAAAATATAATTTTTCATTTACTTTAGAGCTAGTTCAGAAATCTGCTATCGTTATGGATAACGCTAAAGAAGTTAAATTTACAACAAACCAATTAATTACTGACGCAATATTCACTACTCTAACCTATGAGGCCTACGAACGTAAGTTTAACAATATTTAGAAAGAAAAAAAATCATATTTTTAATACTAATAAATTTTAATATGTCCTCGATTACATATACATTCAATATAAATAATTTCTAATTTTAAATATGTATTCTAATGCTTACAAACTATATATAAACTAATGAACACAATTGGCTGTAGCACTTATATAAATATGTACTTTGAAGATTTAATACTATTAAGCTTTAAAGTGAAATGATAAAAAATTTAATCATTTTACTAATCGTAATAGAAAATTTGAATGTTAAATTAAAAGTTTTTTGCAAGGCATATAAACTACAATTAAAAGTTTATATTAAATATATGAAAGGTTGTCAAAATCAATTAATATATGACAATACAATATATGCAATTATAACATTTTAACTTAAAATTATTTTTAATTTAAGTTTATGTACAATAAAAATGCATTGAGTATATCGCCCTGTTTCATATTGTTTACAAATGAGAAGTAAATTTAGTTTATATTTTTTAGTTTTAGTTTTCTACTTAAAGTTAAGCGTATAAAAATATTTAAATTTATTATTACAATATTAAAAAAAATATATTGCAAAACTGTAATCAATTGCAAAAATAGCAAAATATTTAAAAAATTGTATAATTAATTTAATAAAATATATATTAACTAGAAATTACTTAGGTTAAGTTGCAAGTTGTTTCTTTAAACATTTTTTGACTATATTCAGTATAAATGTAATGTTTCAATTTTAATTCTTAATAATTTACTCCTTCTGGTTGACTAGTTTTTATAGAAGATGTAGCTTAGTTGAAAATCATCTTGCGTAAATCTGTACACTTCCGGCAACAGTAAAGAGTTCTCGTCCAACTCGCCTAACAGATTGCTAAAAAGCGTAGGTGATATTTGCATAGTGCTTATGCTTATATCTTGTTGCCAATAATTCAGCAAAACTGTTGACTTGCTTTCCTCACTTTCATCCTCAATAAGTCTATAAAGTAATTTAAAGCTTTTGTACGGCTCCAACTCCACTTGTAAAACATTATTATTGTTAACACCGCCAAGTGCTAATGGGGTTTCGTTACGCAAAACGCACAATTCCTTTTCGAGTATTTGCAGCAATACATACTTACACTTCCGATTTGGAAAGGTAGACTGCAGCACAATTTTCGAAAATTGTATTTGTGTAAGCAGTGGTTCCATATCTACAGTGGCATCTTTAATAATTCTCTGTAATAATTGTGATGTCAACGGTGTAGGATGTTTGTAAAATATATCTTGTTTCTTATTTTCAATTTGAAAATGCAATGTATCAGTCCATAATTTCGCTGCTTTGTCAGAGAACATAGTCCATCCTAAGTATTGTAGACAACGTTTGCAGTATATATGTCCTTCTTTGTATTTGGTTGCTGTTTCCAGCGTTTTATAATTTAAAACTATAAATTCAAATCCATAGAATAAATCATTAGTGTGTGGCACAAGTATATTGTCGAAGCTCGGACCGTGGTGGCAAAAAAATTGACCCATATCAACAGTGCCAGTGGGAAATTCACGTATTTTATTAAACTGTTGTTCATTTATTAAAATGCACTCACAATTTGCACAGCAGAGTGTAGCTGCGGTACCCTCAAGCAATTGTGGCGCAAAAATTTGCTTTCTACGTTGGTCTGCTTTCGCTTCTTTTTGTATGTTGTTTATGCTTAAACGAAAGCTAGCGTTGCATTCCTCCACCGTAAGATTGCTCATCGTTTTAGCTTCGATTGTGAAGTACTTAGTGACATCAATGTTAGTTTCAGTAGACAAACCACGTAACTTGAGTGCATTTTCTTCAACATTTATTTTTAGGAACTCTGTTTCTGTTAAGTTTTGGTCAAATTGCAAAAATACGTTGGCGCAGTGCAGGTTTTTACGTACTTCGATATTAAGCGTGCGTAACGACATGCTGCACAAGTTTAATATTTATATTTATTTACACTGTATTCTTATTAAATGATTAGTTACTTAAAATATTAAAATATTTGAACAAAAAATAGGAAACAAAAATTAAAACAACGCTATAATTATTTTGCATTTTGCACCGAATTGCACAAACAGTGTTGGAAAAGGCTTCATTGCTTCTAACAACGCTTAAATGGATGTAACATATTGCAATACATTATAAAAATTTGTATGTATTCCAAATGGGCGCATTTACATTAAATTTCAAAATTCTGTTAGATTAAATTAGTATTATTAAATTAAATACTAACTTTTGAATAAAGTTGTTGCTGTAAAGCTAGACTTTCTTTGTATGGTGACAAAGAAGCTTTATTAAAATTTAGAGGGGTTTTGAATAGCAAAGAAAGAAATAAAGGATAAACACAAAAATTTTATTTTCATTTTTATTTTCAAAACCCCCATTAAATACTAACGTAAAGTTTTCAGGAATTGAAACAACAAATTCATTCACACAAGGCACAGATAGTCTCGGCTCTCATGGTCAAATTTACACCGACATTGATTTTTCTTTCACTAAATTTTATAATTTGCATTAAAAAATATAACAATTTTGATTTTAACGAGCCTATGGCTCCCTACATAAGATGGCCCTAACAAAAAGAGCATGTCGCCTGCTCGACGTTTTGACTTTTTACAGTGCTACTTCGGAAGAGTTTGCTATTCTTTATTTTTTTTACCGTATTGTGTTAACTATTTGTATTTTCCAGCTGCAAATTCACTTAACATATGTAGCATTTTATTAGTTTTCATTTCAGTGATTTCTAGTTTTACTTGATGTGCTGGTTTTATATATATATAGAAGAAACTACGTTCTATAGAACGATTTAGTTTGTAATCAGAATCAATTATTATAGAAATAACGAGGTCGAAAAATAAGAATTAATAAATTTATTATAATATCACAATCATATACATATTTGTTATACATTAGAAGTCAAAATATTTTAATTATTGGTATCTTTCACAATTGAGCCATGGCAATTATGCATTTCAGTGCATGTCAGGTACTAACGATTTAAAATAACTGCAATATATATATATATATATATATATTATTAGGTGAATTATAATACGTGAAAAAGCGTAAAAATTGAATTATATATCGTTTATGTCACTGTATAAAAACGACAAATGTGTAAAGAATCCAAACAAAAATGTACTAATAAGGTTTAAGTTTAAAAAGTAGAGACATTGTTTTAGTTTGAAAATAAATTATTTAAATAATTTTAATAGTTATATACAAACAATTCCATACAAATTGTTTGTTTATGACCAAAATTTATATTCTATGCAATTATCATAGTTTTATGTGTTATCTAATACTTACATGTTTGCTAAGGTGTGACATCTAGTAAGTCTTTCTTATGTTATGTATCAGACATTCGCAGAATCAAAGGCGATGAAAAAGTAAAAGTAATCTTGCACATTTCATTCGGGTTTGCTCTGCGTTGTTGTTCATTACAGTGTCCGCTTCAATAAAATACGATTGTGCAAGACATATGCAAATAATTAAAGGAAAAGTGCATTTATTTTTTTGATTTTTTTTAGACAAACAAATCTAGTGAAAACTAACTATTTGAAAAATGAGTAAGTGTTGTATAAAATTAATTCTATTACCATTATAAGTGCAATATAAGTTAGATAAAATGGAATTTTTAATGACTATAATGCATCTATTATAAAAATCAAAAAAAATCTAACAACTCGCTTTTTTTATACAATTTCCTGTTTTACAATGAAAGTAAAATTTCACCTAATTTCATGGATTCGTATTACTTCTTTATCTTTCACTTTTACATTGTTCTGCTGCGTTGTCTGCTTTTTTATACTGCATGTTCCGTATAGTTTTGTTTGTCATTTGAGTTGTGCTGCTGTGATGTGCGCTGCGCTTTACCAGTTTCAATTGGAGTCGCTCTATCTTTCTTTTACCCTTTGGGCTAACAAAGCTGAGCTCTCTCTTTCTCTCCCTCGCTCTCTCTCTGTTTACGTTTTTTGCGTTCAGTTAAAGTTACCTCGTTTTTTGTATTGTTTTTGTTATTTTCTTTGTGTTTACTTTTATTTTGCAACTTGGCTTGTTATTATCTAAGCCAAAAGTTGGAATTGGCGCTCGAATCAATTTATTTTGCGAAAACTGGTTTCCTCTTGTTGTTTACATTACAACCAATTATTTTAAATAATACATTTTTCCCCTGAAATAATAATTTATTTGAGTACTTGCGCAATAAACAATTAAAAAATTTACTTTGGAAATGGGTTGTGACATTGTGTGAAGTACCATTAAATTTGAATAGCAATATTAAGTTATTTTTGTACAATTACATTAAGTAATTTGTTTATAACATATAATAAAATGTTAACATATATTAGTTTCTCTGAATTTAATTGTATTATGTTCTAAAATTAAGGGGCGTAAATGGCTTAAAATTAGTATAAATACTTAGCTTACACCTAGTAAAATATTTAATTTACAGCAAATTTAGTTTATAATAATTAGAAACTAAATTATATAGTTGTAAAATTTAGTGTCGATTAGGTAATTTGTAACACAAGTTCTGAGAATAACGAATATAATTTTATATACAATACATAACTAACACGAATAGAAATAAAGGGCAAGAGGAAAGTTTTCAACTGTCATCTGCTGGTAAAATTCCCAGAATTCTATATGAGAATTCTTTTCGATCGTTGTCTATTTTATGAATTAATTTTTTTTTTCCTGAATCATGTTAGCTTCTATTTTCATAGTTTTCAGATTAACAATTGCTTCTTTTTTTTTTAATTGAAGCGCAGTAATATAATATTTTTATCTCATCTCTTGCTTAGCTTTACAACTCAACTTTTACAGTGGCTCTATAAAATTTTATAGAGGCTTCCTTTGATGTATGCACACATATGACATGCACCCACTACGTGCAGCTATGGAAAACGGTTACGTGATTAATATCTCAGTCAGTTTAACTGAAGTCGAAACTTTCGCCATAAATGCAACACATGAAATGTATGAATTTTTAAGTGAATTGCAACAACAAAAAAAAAACTCGTGACTAAAAATATTGTTAAAGATTTTATCATTCTTCTGATCTTTCAATTCAAAAATATAAGAGTCTGTGAATCGATGAATTTTGTTAGAGAAGAACACTTTTTATTAGTCATGAAAGTTATACAAGTAACTTATATAAGTGTATTCTTGCCACTATATCATGAGAACGCATATCCATATCCAATCCAATTTTGAGAAAGCAAAGAAAATTATAAAAGAAACTTCTTCGGAAGCGTTGCTATTTCAATGCCCTGAAAATCTCAAGTCATCCGACCTATACAACAACTGAATGATCAATAAAACCTTCTGCTATAGACTGATCGATATTTGAGCAAATTCACAATTACCCTGATAAGTCCATATCTGCGACTATCTAAATGTGAGCTGAGTAAAAATATTTCATATAGTCACCTTCCGCTAATAATACTGCAGAAAACAGCGCAACTCAGTCACCGTAAGTAGGCTATCAGTTCAATCACACAGTCTATATTCCTTCTATATGACCATCTATAGTCTTAGTGTGATCTAATTGATGTAGTTATTTTCATATACTAATGGCATAAACATTAGTAATGCTAAAAATAGCACAACACAACTACAATGAATTATACAAATCCATACTCTAACTATCTAAGGTGAAGTCTATTTGAGATAACAGCTTGTGATAGAAACATATGATAGCAGTGCTTCAAGAACAGCATAACAATCACAATCACCATAATTAAGCTGCTAGAGGCTAATAATATATGTCCACATTATGTAAGTTCACACTCCTGTAACTAACTGTGGTTTCCATAAAATATCATCCTTCATTTAACTCGATTTATGCTAAAAACGTTTAAGAAAGCAACGCAATACATTCACCACCGTATATGAAATCACATACATAATAGCTTTACCTTCTACTTTAATCTTGGAACTATTTCTGTATCTTTATCTAATCTGTATAACATATTAACCAATTTTTAGGTTAAATATTGAAGTTATCTTTTTCATATTACGTGTTCTTATTGTTATGTGAGGTACTAAATAATTTTGCTTGTGATTGGCGAATCGCTTCTGGAACCAAAGTAAAATAATCTTCATATTTTTTTAGAGGTTTGGGCGCGATTTTTAATATCACAGTATTTCTTTACCTACCTATACTTAGAAGGGACAATGGTATACTGCTACCTATAAAATCTATTATGCTAACCCTGTAGAGAGTCTCCTAAGTTACCCTAGACAATTTGAAACTGTTGACAAATCAAATTATTTGTAGATCCCAGAACTCATTCGATTCAATGATAGTCGAATGAAGGTACTGAACTCGTTTCATGTCTATCGCAGTGAGAGTGTAGTTAAAATGAGTTGGAATCAATTGTAGTGTTAATCAATTTGAATTTGAATTAAATTTGATTATTTTACTTCATCAATATCTACATATATTTTTAAATACTTAGCAGTGATCATTGTTCTAATCTTGGTTATTTGTTTCCTTACCTTTTGGAGTATATATAAATATTCATTTGACTATTGACTAGACTTAATTATTCTATCCTGTATTCTGTATTCCAATATCTTCCACATTTGTCTCCAATTCTAATTGCTTTGTTTTTGGATATGTAGTGAATAAACGCAATGATTATTTTTCTATAATGGATCATTCAAAAATTCTTTGTTCTAAAGACAGTAAAAAATTTTGTGTTGAATTGATGGTTTGGTTTTTAAAAATATACATAAAGAGATCAATCAAAACAAAAAATTCAGTGTAGTATGTTTACATGTTGGAATTGTTGAATTGATAGATTGGTCTTTAGTAATAAATAAACCAAAACTATAATCACAAAGAGATGTTGACCTTACATTATTATTTTACAGAATTATTTACAGAACATAAAAATATTTATAATATATAAATAATATATAAAAATTTAATAATTATAATATTTTCATTTCTCTATTCTTGGTAAAACTACTTGTGCAGATCTATTGTTAGAGCGCTTATTAGCAGTAGAAGAATTCTGATCATATGCAGATGCAACTGATTTGTCTCACTTACCCGTATAATTGCCATCAAATGCACTTGTTTTAATTGCTTGGGAGATTTATTGAATTATTCAGCTTACATTACAAACACTGAAGTCTTTCATCATGCAGATAAGATTACGTGTTGGTGCTGCTGCTCATAGTGGCGTAGTAGTAGTCACAACTGCTGCTGTTGCCAATGCAATAATATTACATATAATGTATCTAAATAAGCGACAAACATTTTTATGCAATATATAACTATTTTATATATGCATTATATAAACTTAACTTATCTGTATTCTGCTCGCAAGCATCAATTGTAATACAGCAGCACGTTGAATAAAGGCATTCATGTCAGTTTGGTCATGATGAAGTTTGTCAACTGATTGCACAGCAGAGCACAGCACAGCACAGTACACTAAGCACCAAGACTATTGTTGCTAGAAAACAAATAATTTTATTTGCTTTTGCGGTCTTCGATCCAATGATTTTTCTCATTTTCATATGACATATACTAACAAGCACTTGCAATTCTACTGCTTTATGGACCATTGTAAAAGGCATTCGTTGGTGGAGTAGGAGTACAGCCATAAACCTCAAATGTGCGATAATTGCATTTACGCTGCAAATTAATTGCAGACGCCCTACTTTACACTTTGCACTCCTCCTCACATTACTCATTACTAATTACTATTACAATTTGATTTTTCATCATTCAACAATTTCATATATTGTCATATTCTATAAAATATTGAATATTGAAATATTGAAATATGTAAAGAATTTTTTTTAAAGAAATTGTGAAAATAAAATTCGAATATAAAAGTAAATTCAAAATTTTTTGTCTCCATTGGCATGCCAAATTTTTCTCAAATATTTCCAGCCTCACTTTCTTTAGTACGTCGACAATTTTATAGAAAATTATGTGCAGTAACTGCAAAAAATAACAAAATTCTTGGGAATTTTAATTACTCAAGTTGCTCAACTCTATTTCCAGCAACTCAATCTGTTATTACACCGCAAAAACTAGATAAATGGCGTAAGGATTTCTACGAAGAGCCCAAAAATATTCTGGCCCAAAATGTTTGCAGCCGTGTCGATCCATTTGATGTATGTTTATCCAGAAAAAAATTAGAGCAAACAAATCATGTGTTCAATTACAAGGTAAGTTAAGCTCATTTCATACACAATTAAACTTATTAATTATTTAAAATTATTCTATATAAATAAATAGGTTGAAACTGAAGGTAAACCAATAACCAATCAAAAGAGTTCCGGTAGGTGCTGGCTTTTTGCGGCTTTAAATTGCATCCGTTTGCCATTTATTAAGCAATTCAACTTGGATGAATTTGAGTTCTCACAAGGTTATTTGTTTTACTGGGACAAAATAGAACGCTGTAATTATTTCTTAAACAACATTGTGCTGACTGCTAATCGAGGTGAAAAAGTTGATAGTCGCCTCGTCTCATTTTTACTGCAAGTAAGTTTAATTCCAAGTCTGACGTTTCAATAATTTTTATGTATTTACCTATGTTATGCTTAGCAGAAGTTTTAGAAAATTGCAGGAAAAAGAAGCTATTATACATTTTCTTTTTGAAAATAGCTGGACAGCCAGAGCTTTAGCTTCCAGAAGTACTTATTTGACTGCTTGTCAGTATGTGCATCGATATGACGAAAGGTTTATTGAATTATTTAAATTATTTTAAGAAATTTTGCAATAATTGTATTAGTCAAACGGCGAAAAATCGCTGATTGAGATCAGTAGAATGCTATCTGATGTTGTGCCACTGCAACCAATCAACAATATTATGCTTGGGGTTAATGAAAACTTAAATAAAAATGCTAATTTGAATTTACCGAAATTTGAAAATTTCTTACAAATCAATATAAGTTTCATTCTAATAACAGAATACCAACTCTACGAAAATGTAGAATCGAGAGAAGTACATGTTTCTACCCATTTCTTATCCAGTTTCCCAGCTCTTTCCAGTATTTGTCACTATTAATAGTTATTGATCAACATAGCTTTGATAGTTCTGCAGTCTGTTTGTAATAGCGTTAACATAAATCGAGTGGTCTGTATATATCGTTTTCTTGGCCAATCGCCAACCTGCCGAACATTATGAGAACATCATCGAACATTTGTGTATCGCATCTATTATTTCGTTCTTCCAGTTCTTTTTGGTTTGATATACAATAGATATGTCCCATGTTAATCTGTGTGACTAACCTGTGTCACAAGTTATGCAGCTAACCTGTGTGACTTTCACAATTTTCAAGATATTTTTGGACTTAATACGATCTGATATGAATTTATTTCCTTTATCGCCGCATGCTTATCCACGCTTATGTTTATCTTGGAGTTGCGTTCTGTTTCAGTGTAGGTAACTTCATAGCTTTCTCCACAGTGAATTAATATTTCCTTAGTATTTTTACAATGTACTTATTATTATTACATGTATTTATGTATTATACTTTGGGTGAAGACATCGCTCTTTGTAAGAACATATGGCGGGCATAGTATTCTTCACAGTGAATACTTTTACTTAAAAAATACTGCAGTACACATATGGCTTGATTGACTAATAACTACTTCAATAAATAAATTTAAAAAAAATTAACTCTAATTAATATAATATAAATTATTTTTATTTGTAATCTATGAATCAATTGACAGTATAATGTTTTTTAAATTTAGGATCCTACGTCTGATGGCGGGCAGTGGGATATGTTAGTCAATTTAATTACCAAACATGGACTAATGCCAAAAAAATGCTTCCCAGAGTCCTTCAGCTGTGAAGCAAGCTTACGAATGAACTCTATTCTAAAAAGCAAGGTAATTATCGGTTTGAAATTAATAGATATTAATATTAAGAGATATACACTACAAATACATATATAGTTGATTCTACATATAGATATAATTTATTTACTTGCTTTGAATAGCAAATATATCACGATAAAAATAAAAATCGTGTATATTTTATTTTTAAATTATTTTTAAAAAAATTAATCATTTTCATGTCCTTAATTATTTTTATTAATTTTAATTTTTTATTATTTCTTAATTTAGTTCTGCTTTCACTACTTTATTCTTACCTTATTTAAATAATATATTTTGTTTTAGCTGAGAGAAAATGCCAAAACATTACGTGGTTTGATCGATTCCAACACCTCTGTGGAAGACGTTAATGCTAAAATTGATCAAATGATGCAAGAAATTTATAAAGTTGTTGGAATATGTTTAGGGATACCACCAGAAACATTCACCTGGGAATATTATGATAAAACAAAGTCTTACCAGTCAGTCGGTCCAATTAGCCCAATTGAATTTTATAATCAACATGTCAAACCAATATTTAATGTTGAAGATAAGGTAAATTGCATTACAAAAAATTAACAAAAAAACTTATTTAATTGTTCTCATTTTTATTTTAAGGTTTGCTTGGTCACAGATCCGCGCCCTTCTAGCATGTACAGTCAAGCATATACCGTAGATTGCTTAGGAAATGTTGTTGGTGGACGTCCAGTTTTATATAACAATCAACCAGTGGAACTTTTGTTAAAAGTTGTAACAGATAGCCTTAAGTCCGCAGAGCCAGTATGGTTTGGTTGTGAAGTTAGCAAAAGATTTGCTCCCAAACAAGGAATTGAGGACCTCTTTATGTTAGTTGAGCGTTAGTCATATTTTATTAGACCAAAAAATTAATTATTTTATATCATTTTGATTTAGACACGATTTTAAGTTGGTGTTTGATATTGATATACAAAACTCTTTATCGAAAGCAGATCGTTTAATTTATGGTGAATCAGCAATGACTCATGCTATGGTATTTACAGCAGTGTCTGTGGATGTGAGTTGATTATCAAAGTATTTTACTTATAATCTATTATTTTATGATAACATTAATGTTAATATTGTTAATAGCCAATAAATTCATAATTATGAATTTAACAATTTAGCTATGAAATAGCCTATTAATAATAACTAATAACTTTAACTAACCTAATAACTTTTTAAATAGCCTATTTATATATTCATATATTGTTTATACACATATATATTATATATATATACTTCTTTTAACTTCCAAGTATTATATTAATTTTTATTCAATCATTTTTTTTGCAGAAAGACGGAAATCCAACAAAGCTACGCGTAGAAAATTCTTGGGGAGAAGATCGTGGTGAAAAAGGTTATCTAGTTATGACCGCCGATTGGTTTAAAGAATTTGGGTTTGAAGTTGTTGTTGATAAGAAGTTTGTACCAGCAGAAATTCTCAAAGTTTTTGATATGGACCCTATCGTACTACCCGCCTGGGATCCAATGGGTACACTTGCCTAAAAAACTTTTTTACTTGTAAAGCTTCAATATGCAACACCTCACAATGCAACGCTGCAGTTCAATTATATACACACACGCAAGAGTGGAGAGCCCTTTAAACCTAATAACAACCAAACAATTTTTACTTATGAAAATTAACAATATATACGTATACATTTTTGTTTTATTTAAAATATATATAAAGGCCTACAACAAAAAAAGTTTTACATAATTTTTTTAAATATATATATATATATGTATGTACAATAAACAAAGGCTTATAATATTTGTAAAAAAAATATACCATTGTCAATTTATTAATAAAGAAAATCAATACAAAAACTAAATAGACAATAACCTTAAAAAGTATTGGGCAATTTACCTTCTGTACACTGAATAAGAAGGATCAAAACCCCTCATATTTTTAGAAACTGACTGTTTGCTATCTTAGATTTATTTACGTATTTTAAGCATATATTGAAGTAAATTTGACATATTCAATTTTTTATTTATCTGGGTTAATCCAAAAAGTTATCATTCAATTTTCTCAAAACTAGGATATAGTTTTCTAAAATAAACAGATATCTTTAAATAGATCCGATATGTTATTAGTAATACTTAATGCGCGATTAAGCTACACTTGCTGATGTCTCCCACGGTAACTTAATTAGATTGAATACAGAGCTAGCGAATGTTGCTTAATGAAATCTTTTGAACAAAATCTCCACTAGTGTCATACAAATGGTATCAAATTACAGCCTCAACATAAACAAACAATCTAAGCCATATTGATTTATACTTCTGCCCTTTGCTTTGGGAAGGTTAAATTATTTTCACCCACGTAGCCCCCCATTACACAAACTAACTTTCCTAAACAATCCTGTCCTATGCTTTTGGTATATGCCTCGTCTTCTTTTTATGGAATTGCTATTCAGCTTCCAATGGTCTACTACAATTACAACTGCTTTTTATTCTCGTATGTTAGGCATAAATGTAATTTTCTATATCATCTTTACTGTGTTACGAACGCCTTAACCAACTTAATAGATCCTTCATTCACAATAGTCTGAAGAAAGAATTGTGTATGATTTCTTTTAATAAAAACTCTAATTGAAAATATACCAATTTCTTTCGTACAATTTTTTTAATAAACCTAATAAATTTACAAATTATTTTGTCTATTTCAATTAATTAGTTTTGATCCCTATAACATAAAAATTGTATAATTCTCCAGCCTGTTCCGTTCAGGTAAAATACTATCACCATATATATACGATATTGTTCAGCTTGTTTTAATAGCATAAATTGAGTCTCCGGCACCTAGCAGGTTTTGCTTCAGTGCTTTTTTTTCCATTCTTATTCTGTATTCATACTGTATGCGCAGCCAAATACCTAGGCACATTTTTACCAAGCGGCTGTCTATCTCTTTTTGTGTTTTAGCAAATGTATATTGCTGACGTACTAAGTGTTTTGCTTGCCTTAAACGTCCAGTTTGTATGAGTGATATGCTGTAATATAGTTTACATCGTGCTTGCAGAAATGGATCACCAAGGCGCATGCCAATAGACAGTTGTTTCAACGATATCCGACCTGCTGTTTCAGCCTAGAAAAACGTTTTATTATACTAGGAAATATATTATTTTGATCTACCGTTCAACATACAAATTTACTAAATTGTTCTCCTAACGCTGAAAAGCCTCCTCCTAACGTAGATAACCAAGACATGAGGTGCTCCATTTCAATATGTTCCCACAAAATGTATGACAACATATGATTCCTTTAAAAAAAAAATACAAAAATAAATCGTGATCAATGTAATTAGTTATAAGGATTATTAACCATTTATAATCGATTACATCTTTTTCTGGTTGAATTATGCTTATACATAGAATGTCGGCTTTTTCAAATGCAGGATTTGTACATATTAATTGACGAAATTTGTTGAACTCCCTCAGCTCACGTAATATATAAAATGCTTGATATCCATCGACTTGCAGTTCTAAACCTTTCAAACTGAGTATTTTATTGTTGGTGTCTCTAAGAAAACGACTTTTAACCGACGGCAGTGGCTTCAGCTCTGATTCAATTGCAATGCTAAAATACTCCCGTTTGTTATATAGATCACTTATGCATAAAATTGTAATCATCTTAACATTTGACGGTGTTTTCTAATTTTCTCTGATATTTCTCAGGAAATCTGTAAGAATGCTAGATATTCTCTAAAATGTTCTTTAACATTTTCTCTTTTAAATTTTTATGCAAAGCACCTGTTTGTGGATGACATTACAAACATTTGTGGATTGTATTTATTGTAGAAAATCTTGAAATGACAGTTGGAACATACTTTAGTAGTGCCAAGTGCACGAAAATTTAAAATAAAATTTTGAGGTATTACTAAAAATAATTATACATAATTTTTAAAATACATTTGAAACAAAAAAAAAAAGAAAATAAAGTTTTAAAATTATGACAATAACAATAACTAACTTTTCTAATTTTTTAAAAATAAGAACTACTCTACAGTTTCTGTAATTTTATAATATGTATATAGTACCACAGTATTTTTATAATTTATTTTAATTTATTCTATTTTGCTTCATAAATATGCTAAATATTTTATATTATTTGCAATGTGTTTTTACAATAATTATCTTATTATATTATCTTAACTATGATCCATTGCATTTAGATCAACTACTATATAATAACAAAAACTTAAACTATTATATATTACTGTATTGTTAAGACTAACTTATGCAAATCTGTCGGTTCTAAGTGTAAAAATAAATTTTATAGTATTTTACTCATTGAAATTTAACTATCACCTACAGCTGCACCCACAGAAAAAAAGATGTTTTGACTTGAGTTTCATCGATTACTATATTGATGTGCTATCTGCTTATCAGTGACGACGCGTGCCCTATCTGGAAGGGTGTGCGGCCCTTCTTTAATGTTGTTTTTACATGTACCAATTATATTAAAATATATGAGATCTTTTATTAATAATAACTATATTATATAAGGCAATAATATAGTCGCAATATTATATTAACAATTCATTAACAAAAGACTATATTAAACAAATTAAATTAATAATTTATATATAAATTTAATATTATATCAATATGGAAGAAACAAAACTTTTTACATAATTCTCGTAACATCAAACCAACTTTTTTCAAACAAAAGAGTTTTAACTCAGAACCATACATGTTTATCCAGTGATCAAACAAAATCAAACCCACTTGCAACGTACAAGTGTGCGCACAAGTACTCCGCACAGTAAGAACAGAAATTTGTGGGTGCTACTGTTAAAAGGGGAGAGACGAAATGTGATAGAAATGTATGCTGAGATGAGCTGCAAACTTCAGCAGCTCACGCAACCACTTTGGCAAATCATCATGTTGGATTCGTATGCATGCAGTTGATATTCGAATACAACAAAAATTTACTCTCATACAATTCCCACTATATAAATCTCTATCTCTGATATTACGAATGGGAGCACACGCACATTATTTTGTTCATATGCAACGTATGAATGTGCTGCCAACTTCTTTGCACACAAAGGGGAGAGACGAAATAAAATAGAAATGTTCTGTGATTTGAGCTGCAAATATATGAGCACAACTAACAAGTATAGCACCTAACAGAAGCAAATTGATTGAGTTTTCATAGACAATTATATTTAATTGTTTTTGCTAAAACTTTAAAAAAATATATATGGAAATGTAATAAATAATAATAATTCTTGATGTGAAGATACTTAATAAATTTATATTTCAATGTTATTTAACATTTTGGAAATTATGTTAGGGTGTTCACCGCACACCTCCGCACCTTAGAGCAATCGTCACTGCTGCTTATATTGTAACATTAGTATCGTTCGAGATAGCTACGTTTACAGAAAAAACTGCACAAAGCCCGACTCTACCATACTTTCTTGAGAAAATTAGCATTTATAGAATAAAGAGTTGGCTTTGTGATTCAAGTCAAGCATGTATGCAGTGAATATCTTGTAGAGAAACGAACCCACCACACTTTCTTGTGTTATCTGCTTATATTGCAACGTTAGTATCGTTCAAGATATGTACGTTCACAGCGGAAACTGTACAAAGCACGGCTCCATCACACTCTATTGTAGGAAACTAGCATTGATAAGGTGTTGGTTTTGTGGTTCAAGTTAAGCATGTATGCAGTGAATATCTTATAAAAAAATGAACAGACCACACTTTCTTGTAGGAGTCTAGAGTTGATAGAATAATGACTTGAAGCTTCGCTCTAATATTTTACACAATAGTACCACTAAGATAATACATTCCATTGAAATCAAGAAATATGAAGAAAATATCCATATTTATTAAATTTAAAATGAATTTTGTATTTGAAAGTTATTTACAAAAGTAATATAATAAAGTACTTTGTTTTTCTGAAATCTTGAATAAAATATTTATTAATTTATTTATTATTTATTATATTAAAAAATTACAATTTTTATTAAAAAAAAAGATTTTAAATAAGCTCTATAACCATATGAAAGGTTTGGGTACCAATATTTAAATTTATATATGTTTTATTTTAATATTAATAATCAAAAGATTATGCTTTAATCTCTTCGAATTATTTCCACCACCGATTAAAATATATTGCATTTAGCTTAGATACAATTTCTACTTAGTTATGACGAAATGAGGGATTAATCACTTGTTATTTCTTGGAATGTTTATTCATAGAAGTATTTACCAATTAAAAAAACTTGTAATTATTTATACATATATAATGAGGAAATGTTATTGATTAACTAACAATATAAATATGCTTAGATAAGATTAATAGTATATGAAATGATATGTTAACGAAAATCACACATAGTCTTTTTAAATATTTTTTTGCAGGTAATTATGAAATTCTATATAAAAAATAATATTTTTCCCTATAAACAAGTGTAAAACTGTTCGCTCTTATAAACAATTGACAAGCTTGTCTGAATCCATCACCGATGACTACTAGGCCAGTAATCGCTGTTATCTAGGTAAACATTGATACGAAGCAATGATAAGATTACATATATCGTGATTTCAAGCAAATGCGGTTGTAGCTCCGGTACTTTGAGTTAAATGTTAGTTATTTTTCGAATTTGAAACTGTTTGGAACGGTTCTGCTAGTCTGTAATTAAACGATATATTAGAGCATTATTTTAGCTAAAATGCGCTTCATACTTTTGGTTGTTGTTGCCGTTGCCTATTTGGCTTATGTGAGCTCCGGTAAATAAAATATTAACATTTAATCAAAAATAAATATTGGAAAAATATATATATATATTTTATAATTGTGTTGGGAAATAATTAGTAAATAAAATATTTATATAATGTGCTTTGTGAAACCGTTTTACTATATAAATTTTGTGCCGATTTCAGTGATTTGTAGTGATTTTTTATATATATTTTAAAATTAATCAATTATTTGTAATAAGTGTTTCATTTAAAAAAATTAATATGTATTTTATATTATATAATTGAGTTTACACCCTTTGTGACTAATAATTGAAATTCTATATCTCTTTAATAAAATATAACTTAATCTTATCGCCAAATTTGTATGTTTGCCTATTGATTGCTGTATAAAGAAATAATTATTTGAATTCGAATACAAAAAAATAGACGATAACTTAGTATATTTCTAATAGTAAAAAAAAATCGAAATTTATAAAAATGGCGTTAGTCCATTTTATTTGTGAATATGTCGTCATGTACTCGTATAAAAGTTTGAAGAGCATGGTTCCATTAAGCATTTTATAGTTCCTCATTAATGTATGTTATATCTTCATCTCAAAATGAAGAAATCTATAAAAGTAAATTAATATATAAATTAAAAATGCTTTTTTAATAAAAAAACTTTATATATTTTTATTTAATAATTATTGTTCTTAGCCACTAAAAGTATTTCATAATTTTAATTATTTATTAATTAATTATTGTCTCTTTTCTCTTTTCAAGTCTCTTTTCAAATAAGTCTCTTCTGGTATAAGATAAATTGCTCACTTAAGACTATTAATTCTATGTTGAATTCCCTGATATATAATAAATCAAAATAAATAATAACATATTTTCATCACAAAATAAAATATGTCAATGTCCATATATTTGTCCCTATGGAGATTACTGGCCTAGAGCGAATTGTCACACCTATAATTTTACACAATATGAGGCTGAAAACAATATCACAAATTGGAATTCCTTTTTAATAAAATTTTAAAGTTTCTTCTAATATATTCCATTAACAAAAATGTGGTACTACAAATCAAACATCCATATATTTACTTTAAAAGGCAAGAAATAGTACACAATTGAACTTAATAATATAATTGATGGAATAAAAACTATTTTAGTAGGGCTATTTCACGTTTCATATTTCACCCCAATTTCTATATATCTACACCGGTCACTAATTAAAATAAATAAATTCATACTCTTATTAGGAGCTTAAATTTTTTATATATAAAAACCTTTATCCTGTGCTAAAGCTCCCATATAAGGCAATGCTGTAAATAAGTCACACACAGCGATGTCTGTTCCTGTGTCATATATGCAGTTGGTCGTGTTACTCTTCTCTATTTAAAATATTAGTCAAATACTGACAATCCGAAAGGAACTGTTTTAGATATACTATTTTGTCTTTCTAACTTTTTTCCTAAATATGGTATTAATTTAATTGTCGATAGTTTCACTTTCATTATATGTTTTGAAGCTCAACCATTAATCCAAAGTCGTGGCTAATATACTATTGGCTTAGTCCGCCACTTAAAGAGTGAAGTGGCGTGATATTTTCAGCAGATAGGATTTTCTTCAATCCACTGGGATTATGCACACACTGAACCGCACTTTACGAGGATATGAATTAGAAGAACTGTAGTTCATGATGCAGATACATATACATTTCTATAAGAGTTTGTGAAAAGTCACACTCATCAGACGTTATTTTTTGTTTGCAATGTTTACTTAAGATCCAAATTGATTTTTAAAATCCGGAAAGTATTTTTCGTCTTTACAACACTTTGTAAAGATAGGAGAACTTCAATTCCTTTCTGTTGCTAATATGAGACTATTTGAACTTAGTCGTATTTGCATATATAATACGATCTGTACTAAACATAGCTTAAGTAATGCTTACATATGTGAAGACTAATAGGCTATTACGGACATATTATCTAGTATATTAAAGACAGATATCACAAGTATTGAGAAGAAGTGATTGATTAACTATAATAATATATGAATGATATCTGGAATTGAAAAACCTATCAACTTAAAGCATCTATGGTACAAATACTCGTATATTTGTCATTATACTACATGAGAGATATTTTCAAATTACTATTTGAATTACTTACAGTATGTTTGTTCCACAAGAAATTGCTCGACAATTATTTACCAAGTGTCACTTTCCATATCAAATCCATACAAAAATGTGCTAATGAGGTTCAATATTAATAAGTTAAATCAATTACAGTATACTGAAATAAAATACCAATGCATTTGTCTTATAAATGTAATGTTTATATCTTAACCACATTTTTGTAATAATTAATTATTACTAAACAATATGAATACCTATTGATGATTAGGTAACTCATTATCTTATCATTAGAAATATACATACCCATATATGTTAGTAGAATGAACTTGATTCCGTCACTCAAATATTTATTTATATACTAAGCATAAGATAAATAGCGAGCAATTCTTTTACATAAAGATACTCGTATTTTACAGGTTTCTGATAAGTCATAAATATATGTATGATACGCTGAATATAGTACAAAAAATTTAAATAGTTTATCGTATGTATATTTAAGTACTGATAAACATTTTTCTTAAATTCAAAATTAATATATTTAATATTCAGTTTCATTACTAACACAGATTGAAGAAGAGTTTACTTAACCGGTTTAATCCATTTGGCTTTAGTCCTAGGTACTGCAAATGTCGACTCCTAGCAAAACCAAGATTTTCTGTCCCAAATACACGACTTCAAAAAATAATGTCTTGTGTCAATCGAGCAGGTTGCTTAAAATGTGAGGTTTTTATAACCAGATTAGTGATAACTAAATATCTCATATGTGCTACTTACATAGAGCACTGTCGCAACTTTAACTAACCAACCATCCATGGATATACATATGTACTGCTACATACCATGTTTTTAGAATATTAGATATCAATATTCCTAAAATTACTCTATTTTAGTGTTCCGAAATTTTTTGTTCCGAAAAATTTATTAGTCCCATTACATACCATATATTTATTAACCTGTGAACTTTCTTTAAATTTTAGATGCTTGCGTACAGTGTAACTCTTCAAGTGATCCAAAATGTGCAACAAATCCTGAAAATTACATGGCTAAAGAATGCTCTAACTCCACATCAAAATGTTTTACTAGAATTTTGGGTAAGTTTTATTTATTTTAGTTCTAACTATTTTTCATTTAACTAACTATATTCATTTATTTTCGAAGATGGTAACACAATACGCGGCTGCGCAAGTGACTTGGATAACAAAACCGCTTCCAGATGTAATAACGAAATGGAATGCTTGATCTGCTCCTTCATGGAAGGCTGCAATCGCAACGTCTTCCCCACACATCGTCTAACATGTTTGCAGTGCGAAGGAACAAATAATGGTACTTGCGCAAATGAGGTGTACGCCAAGTCCACAGTATGTCCTATTTACAAATTGGGTGATAAATGTTTCATTAGAAACACTGGTAAATAATTTGCATATATAACAAAATATATATGTTTTTAATCCCGTTTTTATTTTAAACTAGGATTGAACGCTACGACCTCCTTCCAACGTGGTTGTCTCACTTCAGCGCAGTCAAAGAAACTTTGTGTGGATGAGAGAAACTGTTATACCTGCGAAGGTAGCAGCTGCAACCATTTAGCATACGGATCGGAATTAATTCCAATTGCACGTGACTCCGCCGGTCTTTTCGGTTACTCGGTATTGTTAGTCGTAGCTGGTATTTTAACTACTCGCTACTTTTAAATAGCAACAAATATATATTTTGTTCGCCAGTGTGTTTCTTAATTTTTTAATTGTAATTTTATTGCTAATAAGTTTCTAAATTCTTGTAGCAATTCTTTTTGCCTTTTAATAAAATTTTAATTTTTTTATTTAAAATAAGATTTACTCGAAATAGTTGAAAAGAAATGAATATTTTCTTTTGTTGAAATTGGAAAAAAATTCACACTTAACAGGAAAATGCATTCCAAGTGCATTAAATTTTACGATGTGCGAGTGAATCCGTTTCTGCACAAACGGTTGACTTTTTGATTCTATCGTTTCGGCATTTCACGTATTTGGACTACTTATAAATATGCTATAGGAATTATAGTACAAGCATGAAGAAGAGTAAAGAAGCGGTTTTCATTAATATTGCGTAAATGTTAAAGGAAATTACTTACACCGGAAGATAATGTATAAATATTTCAACACATTTGAATCCCTCTATTTTAATTGAACTCTTATTGAAGTTTATGGAAGTTGTGAAGAACAGCACTTATGTATGCGTGTTCAAGATAAATTAAATGAATTTTATTGAAAAAAATCTTTTAAAATATTTTTAAATAATTATTAGTAAACAATTTTTTATAATCATATATCAGTATAAATCGTAAACATATACGGCAAACTAGCCAATTTCAATAATAGTAAACTATATTTAAATAAAAACACTAGCTACCCGATGACTGGAAGTACTATAAACGTACCTTATATTCTGCATCGCAAGTATCTGTTAACTATATAACAGAGTTAATTCTGTCTGCTTAACTAGCTGCCGATGATCAATATAGTAAAAAATTCTTATATAGTATTCTTTCCTATATAGAGCAAGAATGTTAGTCATACGGAATGTGACAGAGAGTACCCTGACTAACTACTTAAGTAGTGCAAGAATATTGTAGATGAAGTTAGTAAAGTGAGTTTTGCTGAATTTAAAAATCTTATCTTTATGTTCATCTATTAAAATTTTTCAATCTTAAAATCATACTTTTTCGAATTCTTACGAGAACGTTTCGAAAATTGAGCTGTTTTTACAGGCTTAACGATTGTATTTAAAAACCTAGCACTAAAACTAAACAATAGTATCTTCATTACAAAAGTGCCATTCCCTACCGGACAATTTTATTTTGTTGATAGGTTAATATACGTTTGGCATTAGTATCGCGCTTCCTACTATAAAGCAAGCTGCATATTCACACAAAGTGTGACAGGAAGTATAGTAAAGTTCAAGGTGCAGAAAGTACTCTATTATGTTACATCAGACAGTCTCATACTCTTCAAATGGAAGTACAAACCTAGTGTAAGTATCCTTTCTTGGTGTATAGTAGGCTGGCTAATCACACAAAATGTGGAAGATAGAGCCAGTAATCAATTATAAAAGGCAGTCGTATCTTATTCAGATGGTAGTTGTACCATCTACTATCACACGAGAAGTATTAGCAATCACAGAATTACCAGCAATTTTGTTGGAAAAGTTCAAATAAACGCAGACTTTAAAGACGCTAAATATAAATAAAGTAAAATAGAGTACCTATTTCATTATTCTTTGAGGACATAAAATAATTGATACTACTATGAAGATATCGTTATTGAGTTCTGAAGAAATTATTTTAGTTCCTGATTCAGACAGAGTTATAGAGTTACACTCTATAACTATGTTTAGTAAAGTAAGTTGAAGAAGAGTGTCCATAGTAATAGTGGCACAGAGTTTCATTGCACCCTTTAAACTGCTCAGTCTCTGAACATTCCTTAATGCCTTTTGGGCACTAATCTGTTTCATTATATGATCACTATGTGATATCACCATATATAATACCAAAATTACCAAATTCTCCTAAATGAAGTATATGTTCCGGATCAAGAATATAAACCTGATTTAAATATATAGCATTGAATATGCAAAAAACTAGAGTTTGTTGCTCCAGAAACTATCATCTGATAATCAATCTTACATTTTTATGTTATGGCTTTTGTCATTGTAAGGTTTTTATTTCATAAAAATTGTTTTGAAAAATAATACCTAGGTATTTAGCTTTGTTGAAAAGTAATATAGGGATAGGGAATAGTAATATAAATCTGTAAAGCGTCTCATTGCTGAAAGGGACTCTTCATCGGTGACGGGCTACATGAACTACTATTTTAGACATCATGGGAGCATAGAAGACGCACCTTTAATATATACGTTAACTAAAGTTTATGTATACGACTTATGAAATAATTGAAATTGTTTATTATATTAGAACTAAATGGATGGGCAATAAAGCACGCTTGACGGAGAATCCAAAAAAACCAAATAACCTAAAGAATTCCTAACTGGAGATCATTTAAAACAATCGAAAATTCGAAGATTTTAGTATACTTACATAATGGACCCATGACATTAGAATAACAATTAGCAAGTGGATAAAAGCAGTTTAGAGCAGAAAAAATTGGAACCATCTAGATAGGGTGTATGTTCAGCAGTGATCTATCTATGTTCATTTGATAATGATGAACAAATATAATAAAATTTTTGAAATAATTAAAAATTTTATAATGTTCTTAAAATCTTTCGAAATAAGTACAACTCGAATAATTAAAATTCAATTAAACAGAAATGAAAAAGATTTTCTTTGATTACCGCGTTTATATACGAAGAGTGAATCCATTATCCATAAATATGGAAAATAATTGTGAGCAGCACAATGGGTTCCTTAATATCAAAAATTTTGGTGTTCTATGATCTCAAGATTTATTTTCAGTAATTAAATTGTTATAAACAAAACGAAATGTAACAAAAAGCAGAGGTGGTAAATGCCTCATATTGATGCACTAGGAAAAGAAATCATAACAATAAATAGCAAATAAAAGCAAATAGTCTTTAATTATTACTGCTGGTACAGGTACTTTTCCAGAAACCGAAAACTGAAAATAGACGTGGAACAGGTAAGAATAAAAATCATTTGCTTGCCAAAGAAATAAACCAGCACACCGCCTTCTTACAAAAAATATCAAACAAAATAAAAATAGAAGGAATTAAATAAATATCTTCCCAATTATAAAAACCAAATCATTTGCATCCAAGTTAAATATCAGACATTTTGCCGCAAAATACACAAACAGTGAATAAATCTATGGACCTATCCACCATTTTAGAAATGCGCCCGCTGGCCAATTGTTTACATAAACGCCAAAATGTTTACGAATTTTCATTTGTGGTGCGCTGAAGTAGCTGAAGAAGCTGCAGCAGCCCCAGAACTTGTGCGGAGGCAACTTAATTTAATGAGACACATTAAATTGGATTCCCAATTGCAGAAGCATGGGCATCTTTTACGCATAAATGAGCTATTTTGGTTTATTTAGTGGCTCTGTTAAAACGTAATTCGTATGCCTGTACGAGCAGGTCCAAAATACTTTAGTCCAATTAAATTTTAATTTTCTCGTGTGAGGGCCATGTGCAACTGCCAACTACTTAGACGCCCACTCGAGCCGCCAGTGTATCCAATTTAAATATAAACAATCGAAGAATGAGTGAATAAATTGTTGAGAAGGGGTGTGTCTTTATTTTGAATGGAGAGAATGTGAAGAGATAAACAAAAATTTGGTGTTTTCTAAAAATACTGATACCATATATTTAAAGTGATCTCCAGCTAAAACTCTTAAGAATACAGATATTTGGTTTTTCATCGGGTCTTTGTAAGTTTTGAAATGTTACATATAAATTATGACAACCGTAAGATCTCTTCGTTAACAAACACTTAATATAGTAAAATAAAAGACATTATGATAAACATTCTAAATTTTAAGTAATTATTCTTAAAAATTACATCCTAGCAATCAAAATTTTTTAAGATTGCTTAACGACTATTTTGCATTTGCAAGACTTATCTAGTATTTTCAATCAATCTTTATTTTATTATTTTTAAATAATTATACTATACTCACTTCTTAAAATATGCTGTGTTATTGGCGAGTTTATACGAAACATAAACAAACCACACTAGAAATTTTATTACTAGAGGATCTTAGGCTACTGAAAAATCTCTTATTTTTCGTTAAAGATTCGTTTTACACAACAAAACAATAAGCCACGTAATGTATCCCTCGGATCACCGTAATAAGCTAATTCTATCGTATGTAAAGTACTATATATATCAATATCCAATGAAAGTCTAGAATCAAACAATTCTAGACTATTTGTAAATCTCGTAATTGCTATGGGCTTAATTTACCTATTTGATTTGGGACCAAGATTCTACTCCCAAGGTACTCAAGTCTATGTCTTGCTACCGCTGGGTAGTTACAGAAAACATGTTCTGATGTTTCCTTCTCCTCATGACAGAATCGACAAAAACCGCACCTATATTCTTCATGTGATAAGTGAGTCTACAGTGGCGTCAGCTTTGATGTGTTCAGGATCATTGAATCTTCTTGGCAGCCCGTTTGCATGTTTGGGCTCTTCAGTGTAAATTTCTTTTCTCTCGTTCACTATTAATTTATTTGTGAAGCTATTTGTTACCCCACAGAAGGGCTCTGAACCAAATAAAAGAGTACATGAACCCTTCCTTGCATTTTATTGCCCTCATGCTGTATCCAATTATATAGCGAGTTATATAAGCTTTACTGAATATTAATAGTATTTAATCATTGTTAACCAGTAGTTTCGCTGACTTGATCGTATCGTGAGTATGTATTACATGGATCAATAAAAAGGATTTTAAGTCAACAAAGGAACAAATAAATCCAAACAAAGGAATAAAATAGATCGCAAAAACTCTTGTCTCTTCTAAATATGAATACCGAAGTTTTCGCATTATTTGTTTTCCAGTACTTCAAAATAATACTTTTTGCGATAAACGTTCATCTAAAAAATTAGGTTTATTCATTTCTTCATGTAATTAAATTAAAATAATTTTTATTGTTCCTACCTATAATTGTGTCTCACTATTTTTACTATTCATGCAAGTTTAATAACTGCAATAGATAAAAAAATTTAAAAAAAGCAACCTACTCTCAGTCAGTTCTTTCTGCTACTAAATTGATCAGCTATTAGATAGTTCAGATCCTAGTGTTTTCTGGTGTTACGAATTTTTTGTATAATTTATCGACGCTTTACTTTAGCTGATTTAATCAGATTAATTTAAAAACAAAATACCAAACTTCTAAATATATCCACAAATCTATAAAACTCAAGAAATCAATTAAAGAGAATATATAAGAGTCACAACCAACAAACCAAAAGAGATTTTTCTTGCATCCGATTGGTTACCAGACAAGAACCAACTGAATTAAGGCGCTTCATAAAATCACTTGAATTATATAGAAAACAAAAAATAAAAATAGGAATCTCAAGCATATAAAACACAAAGGGATTGTACACATCAGACATATGATTAAAAATAGATTTCTTGAATGAGAGAGCTAACCAGAGATGCATACCAAAGAGATTGTTGCGCGTATTGAAATGAACACTTCGACAGATGTTGATCTAAACTAAATATCATCAAACGGATCAAGTCGGTACGCTTAAGAACACAAAATATTCGATAAAAAAGCGGTTATCTGATTTATACCTAACACGGATATGTGAATCGCGTATATGCGGACACTCAGAAAGGCTTGCAAAGTCATCAGGCATAAGGTCTGCCAAATTTGTACACCATCGGGACAGTCGGCACGCGTATGTCATTTTACACCTTTCGCTTGATTGCCCGAATTAACATAGAATAAATAAGGTGTCAAGTGAACGGATCAGATATTTTTGTTGCGAGACTGATGAATATTTCAAATCAAATCGTGTGTGCGTAACGTGTTTATCTCAGTTGCAGGTTGAAAGTTTAATAGACGCGCTAAAAAGGTTATTGCGTTGAAACAAAAGTGTCAAAAAAGATTTTCGCGAATCTGTGAAGAGTGCCAGTGCCAGTGCCAGTACCAGTGCTAATACCGCCGTCAACACCCATTATCGATCGCGATGTGTGTATATTTTTACCGATTCACTCGTTGATTATAGTAAAATATAAAGATACATGTGTTTATCAGAAAGTAAAGGTGTTGTTTGATTGATTGTACGCTTGCTTGATTGAAGAAGCTTTAGCTAATTGCAATCTATTGAGATGTATTGTATGCTAACCGAATTGTGATTAAGTGGTTTTCAATAAATTTCAATTCGTAAATACGCAAAGTATTTGAAGAACTTTTTAACACATTTCAAGTTTCGACATTTTTATCGTTCATTCTGTGCGAATTGATCGGAATAATTTCGTCTGTGATTGAGTTTGTCGTGAAGTTAATGAGCAATTTGGCAATAATTGAACAAAAGCGTGAAAAACATTTTAAATAAATTTTTAATTCAATTTAGTTTTTTTTTGTAATTTGTTGCTTTTGAGCAACTCAAAATTCTATTACAATTATTATTCTCAATTTAATCGAAAACGTGTAATGCATCAAACTGCATATCGTGGTCCAATAATGGGTCCGACTGAATGCACCAGTGGAATAGTTTCTTCATCAATGTCCTTTCTGGATAATACAAATGGATTTAGCGCAAATATTGCAGATTATGGGTGCTATGTTACAGATTATTGGGCTGCGCCATACACAACGGCCTTAAGTCCCATGAAACAAATTGAAGGTGATTATTTGTAAATCGTCGTAATATAATTATTTTTGTGTTTTAAATTATATTTAATTAGGAAAATATAAATATACGAATTATAAATTTTAAATACAAATTAAATTATTTTTGATTGACAAAATGTAGTGATATCTCAACAATGCAGTTGATGAAATTAAACTTAAAGTTGCAATGGCACTTAACTAATATTATTTTTGCTTAAGGAATTCTTAAATTTTATTTCAAATTTTTACTTATAACACTATATACTCATACTTTAAATAATTGACCATCAGATGGAATAGACTGGTACATTAATCATTCATTTAATTTATTTATCTTTTCTTTTTTGTTATATCTGTATAAGAGATATTCGTTTTATAAAGACAATGTGTCGTAATTTAAAGACGATTTAGTTTATTTAAGTTGATACAAGTTGATAACAAAGAATAAGATTGAGTACACTCAATTTTGTTATCTAGTTTCTTCCTAGTTTTTAGAATTTTTAGACCACTATTGAACTGAAACAATAACTTTCAACATTTCTGGCAAGAACCCCTAGTATAAGAGAGTAGAGACTAAATCCATTCCGTCGAATTTAGGACATTTAATAGGTCCCTCGTCTTTTCCGATGAACAGTCTGCTAGACTGTCAAAGAAGTATCTTTCTAAAAATCTATTTATTTCTGGTTTTTAAAAATATGAAATATTGATTACATAACGATTGCTGCGTTTTAAATCTGTTATGAAATAACATTTTAGGTATTGAAATAACACAATCAAAAATTCTTATAGATATTTAATAAATGCTCTAACTATTTTAAATTGATAAGTGTAGTATTGTATATTGTATCTAGTTTAAAATAATGATCTAGCATGATATATTAAATACAATATAACTTTGGAACAGTAGCATATCCTTCAATTTATGAATTAAATGAACTGAAACTGGCTTCATACGATATCATTTCATAGTCTAATATGTCATATTTTTAAAAAATAAATGATAACGTTCTAAAAGTTATGTATGAAGATGAACTAATACTTCCGAGAAATCACGTATAAGTATGATAGATAATATTGTAGTTCGGAACTTTCATATTCATTCATATTCATATTTATACTTATTGAGCCAATTCAACTTCTTGTTTTAGTTAGAACAAAAAAAGTTTCCATTAAATACTGATGATGTATCAAAAATTAGTTTTCATATCTTTATGTAGATTATATACCTATCAAATACATCCATCCATATCTACAAAGTATGATTTTACTTAAATGTCAAATCTTATTCACAGATTTATAGTGCTTTGTGTTTTTAAAAATTTGAGGCAGTAAAAATTTCAAAACTAACCATTTAATTTTAATTTCTATCTATTATCTTATTTAGAATCAATTGCTAATATTAAAAACATCATAATCAAAGCATTTGTTATCTTTATCCATCCCATATTGTTTATTGGAATCTAAAGCATTTATGTGTCCTCTATGGCTATGACTATGTATTCTCTTATGAGATTATTGAATTACTATTAAATTATCCAGTCCTCATTAAATTATTTTGTCGATGTTATATTTTAGGTTACACGTTAATGTTGTTCGAGTTTTGTTGATATCTGATATCTTTCAGCTAACATGGGACTAATAAAATCATTCTTTTTTAACTATGAGCTGGATTGATATGAGTACGATAGTGTTATTCATTTTTTCTTCTTTCTCATCAGCAGGTATTGCTAAAAGGATTGAGGAAGAAATGTCTATTGTCTCATGTTAGTATTTAAATTTTCACTCTTTACGTGGGCAGGTGTCAACAGATGAGCCATACAGGTTTCGATAATTAACTGATTTCACTTAAAACTTATATTATAATAATTTTTTAAATAGCTGAAGAATCGTTTCAGTGATCGCAGATTTCTTGTTAACTCATCTACGATGTAGTTTCTTTCTGTATAAAGTGATTGAGTGTAATAGTATTCTTTATGGATGAAGGAGACAAATTAAATTTTATGATTTAATGCTATTTATATATATACATATTGTAGGTAAATAATATACCTGTATATTTTACAAAGAGAAATGATAAACCGCTATCTCAGCGATTTAACGAACCACCTTACATTGCAGGCACATAACATCATTTCCTAGGTTGACTTCATAAATTTTCTACGGTATCAAATTTTAGCTTCGTAGTGTATTATTTCTTTCTTAAATAAATAATTTAAAAATACTTTAAACATAAAATTTAATTTAAATATAAAAATAATTTATAAATGTGCATTTTTCTGGTCTTTTTTAAATCAAAAGAAATTAAGCCTCCCAAATCTTTTATTTTTAAAGTTTCCATTTATATAATTTAATAAGAAATCATCACATACAACAAAATAAAATTCTTACAAAAAATCATTTCTTATAGGGTCTTATAGGATGCTATAGATTTCACTATAGCATTTCAAAATTTCTCTTATATTTATATACTGTGTTATCACGAATACGTTTAGGGTACACGCATACATTTGAATTTGAGTAGAGGATTTAGGAATGGAACTTCAGTCACTCCTTACATTTGCTAAAAGCAGCAATATTCTAAATGATGCCTACTACAAATCATCATAGAGATCTATCTGGTATCTGGACAAATTGACTTAACCTTACATTTCACATTTACTGAAAATATATTTTGTATAAATATTGGAGTAAAATTTATTTTTCTTTCTAAAGTATATATATGTATACAATATTAACTGAATGATATCTTATATGTTACCAAAGTTTTTTTAAGAAGCTTACTACAATTTGTACAAAATAGTGGTTCAATTTTTCCATCAAAGTGATTGAACTACAGTTAATAATTTCTAAGCGTTCTTAAATGAGCTAATTAGTCTATTTGTGTCTACTTATACTATATATACAGTATATAAGCACACATATTGAAAAGGTGCAATATGTTTTACTTAACTTATGTTAACAGAAAAAATTTCGCAGTTTATTTTATTAAGAAACTATTATTTTCATTTAAAAAATCTGAACTTTTGAACTGCAAACCAAACTAATTAATTTTAGAACTTTTACGTCAAGAACCTAAACTCTTAGGAATTTCTAATAAAAAGCTTTGTTATTCCAGCTGCAGAAACGTTTCCTTATAGTGTACGAGTATATCAAATAAATTGGAATTCCGGCCTATATTTTCCACAATTAATTTGCACTGAACAATATTCAAATAAATAATTGCAAATTACAATTTTTCGCAATTAATCAAAAGTAGATGTTAAGGAGTAAAGGAATGCATAGGAACATGTGCCTAAACGTGTTCGAGTTCGTATATCTTCCATACACTTTGTGGATGAAATGATTTGTAGCGAGTAATTCGCACATCACGATTTGATTTATATAATTTTAAGCGAAACAATCTAAAGAAAATCTGTAAAAAGTTAATGAAGACATCTCGGCATTATCTTGTTGAATTCCTGATTAGTCGCTCATAAATACTACAAATGACGGCGCAAGGTGACATACGCGTAGCCTACATTTGTTCAGCTGCCAACATTTATGAGTTATGGGGAATTGCGACAATTTTAGCGACTCTAATTATTGTTTTGATGTGTAGTCTCGGCGATGGAACTGTGTAATCAAAACATCCAAATTGTTAAAAGTGTTGAATGATACTTTTCTCTCTCACAAAGAAAATGAGAAATAAAAAATTAATATAAAACTGCGAAACTATAAAATAAGTCACGATATTCTTACACATTATTAGAAGAATGTAGTGGTTCCCTCAAACTAGTAAGTTGAGTAAAATTACACTTCAATTCTCATCTCTTCCCATCATCCGAAAATGATTATCTTTTCGCAAATAAATTATTTCCTTCTTATTGCTACAGTCGATTTGTGGTAATTTGTTATTGCAACAGTTTATGCCAGAACTGAGTACCAGGCGCAATGTAAATCGTTGCGTTTCTCTCTATTTTAACATCAAATGACCCATGACAGGTCGCAATGCCATCAATTGTCGCCAACAAGACTCTGGTATGCTTTGTTGTTCCGCTTAAGTGTTTTTATGTTTGAAGTAAATTTGTTTTACGTTCACTTGGCGCTAATTTCGATTCCACTTTCCGACGGGGTAGTAAGTAAAGTTTATTGAATTTCATAAAAGACCAGAATTAATTATATAAATTTAATTATTGGAGTAATTATTTATAAGCTATTATATCCAAACTATTCGACACTTACAAGTTTTGGCTATATAATTGTGAATGGATTTTTTTTTTATATTAGTCATGCTTTCAAATATTCTTATACATGAATTTGTATGTATTGAAATCTAAATAAAATAAGAAATGTTTTCACCTTTAATAAAAATAATTTTTATTACAAAACTTATATATTTTTTCTATAAAATATGACATTTAGAAATACCGTATAAGACAAAATATCTACTATGATCGCAATGTAGTTACGTGCCACTTCGCAGCTATCATCAAACAATATCTATGTTTGCGTAAACTACTATAATTTTTTTGTCTTTTATTCTTCTTCTTCTTCATTTCATTGCGTTCCTAGGGCAACATTGGGCCATATGGTTACAGTTGTACCTAACGAAAAGATTCTGTTTAAACGTATGTTTCGCGCCTCCAAATTCGTTGTACATGCTGCCGAAGCAGGTTGATTTACCATATATGTACGGATACCACATGGAGACTGTAATTCCATCGGGTTTAGACTTATGTTTTATTTCCAGAAAATAGTTAAAGAAGAGAGTAAAGCCCTGGCGTTGGGTTACAAGCGCAATATCAGTCCTCTAAGGTTTGCAGTTAGTGACAGGTCACTTTTAAATAGGCCGCTCCTAACCTGGAGAATAGACGCTTTTCATTCAGTAAAGTAATTAAGAAAATATAGAAATTCTCCTCATAAAACAGACGTTTAGTTATGGATATTTTTATTTCAACTAAACTTTATAACGCATTTAGACCCGAATAAGTTCTTAACAAGTCTATTAATCAAACATTATTAAAATAATTTCACAATTTCGTGATTACTTTCAATAAAAATTAACAGACATAAAGTAATACTTAATTAGTTCGATAGAATTGACCCAAGGAATTTAATTTAGTTTTCATTAAATAAAAATAAATGATTCTTTTGTCGATCTTCTTTCATAACAAGCAACAGAGCCTTTATCATTCTCATGTGTCATACCTGTTTCATGCCTATCGTTTAATGGAGTGGTACTGCTTAAAGAAGAAGAAATAACTATATATTTTCTATGCAAATATCAAGATCGGAAGAAATTACGGCATTCTATTATGGAAGTCTATGAACTAATGAGCATGACGAGTATCCAAAAATTTAAATCTTATAAAGTACCCTTCTCTGTCAATCGCATAGATTGGTTTTTAAACTTTGACGCCTCCTTCAGGTTGCCTGATAACAGAACTGAGTATATAAGACATATTTTACCATCACTGTAAAAACTGTTCGAATTTGATTTTAATATAATACCTGTATATACTTATGGGCTTATGTTATATCTAAAAAAACGTAGGTAGAGAATTCATAACTGCCAGAGTGGCAGCACCACAGTTAATTTCTTTACATATTCAAGTTAGCTGTTATAGGAACATATTAAATGTATCCATTTATTTAAAAAGCCCATAGTGCCATATATGTTTTACCTATCCGTTTTCTTCTCAATATTATTATTTAAAAACAAACAATGATAAAAAAGTATTATAAAGTAACTGCGAGTAGATGAAAATTATTAATAATGGTTTCGTTTAATTACATTAAACAGTCAATTTATTTAATAAAATCAAATATTATTTGATTATTTTATTTAATAAAATAATAAAATCAATTTATCTAATAGTCTTTTAATTCCAAACATTATTTGTCAATAAGATGCATACTCTGTGAGTCAAACTATAAACTCTGTTTCCCTAATACCTACTAAATCAGTTAAGTTAGTAGTATTTAGTAGTTAGTAGTTTTTATTAGTATATATTATTTGTATAAATTCGAAAGCTTAAAACTCGATACTCTACTATATATCAGATTTACTGGGTTAACAATATTAAGGCTCGATTTTACAGTAGTAACTTAAATCTCAAAACTGACTTAAGTAAGAATTATATAAGTTAAATGGATAACTTAAGTGTGATTTGTGTTAGTACTTACTTACTTAGTTGGCCATTACAGACGTGAGTCATTCTTGGCCGCGTCGAGTAGACTCCGCCAACCAGCCCGATTAGTTGCTTGCTGTCGCCAGTTGGTAGTACCAAGAACCAAATCGTTGGTCACCTGATCCTTCCATCGAAGATGTGGATGTTTTCCACCGCAGTACCTGCGGGTACCGAATCAAACACCTTTTTAGTCGAAGCACTTACTTCCATTCGCATGATTTAAGTTAATATTGAAACTTAAATTATAACTGTGAATGTTGGTAACACTGTAAATATATAAGTCCACAAAATTATGTGCAGTAAAATTAAAGAAAAGATTAAAGGATATGAATTGGCTAAGAAAATTTTGAAAGAATTTAAAAATGCAGACTTAATAATTTATTTTTTCCAAATGATATTTAAAAAATAACTTTATTTATTAAATTTAAAACTGACATCCAATAAATCGTTTAATTAAAATTTTAGCTTGTATACAAACCGCTGGCAAAGATCGCGCCTCATATAAGCCACTTGAACATGTCGATTCGAAAGATATCGAAAGCACCAGTAGCAGCAGCAGCACCGGAAGTGCAATTTGCCGTGAAAATGTCAACAGCAACAACAACAACAACAGCAACAATAACAGCAACTACAATAGCACTGAAGCTAATAACAATAACAATTCTCAAACAAATTCTAGCAATAGTGGAAGTAATAAAAAATATAAACTCACCAAGAAAGATCCAGCAACAACAACATCCACAGCCAATAAAATGAATAATAATCAGAAAAATGTAAGTGTGACTGGAAGTGTGAGAGATTGTGCACTTGAAAAAGTCACAGATGTCACAATAACTTCAAAGACGATATTATGATATATGGAATTATTATTTTATTTTGTTATAAAAAAAAAAAAGATTTTTTTTTAATATTGAGAATATTTAATATTTTTTATTAAGACTTCTTGAAAAAGTTTCTGCAAATGTACTTTTTAAATTATAATTTCTTAGGATGAACCACTACATCCAACCTTAGCACAGGCTATTGTGGTTTTGGAGACCAAAGCTTTATGGGATAAATTTCATGAACAAGGGACTGAAATGATTGTCACCAAGACAGGTCGTCGCATGTTTCCGACATTTCAAGTGCGTATTGGTGGTTTAGATCCACAAGCTACATATATAATGATGATGGATTTTGTGCCAGTCGATGATAAACGATATCGCTATGCATTTCACAAGTGAGTTTAACTTTGAATAACTATATACTTGTTATAGAATCATTTAAATAAAACTATTCTAGTTCCAGTTGGGTTGTGGCAGGAAAGGCAGATCCTATTTCTCCACCACGAATACATGTGCACCCAGATTCTCCATGCGCTGGTGCCAACTGGATGAAGCAAGTTATATCATTCGATAAATTAAAACTGACCAACAATCAATTGGATGAAAATGGACATGTAAGCCAAGGCATTTTTGGTTTTTCTTTTTTTTTTTTTGTGTTGAATCTAAATGAGTCAGTGCACTTGAGCACTTTTACTTTTTATTAACTGCGAGGGTTCTTCATAACCCCTCTCTACGCCTTGACTGGATTATTGTTTATCAGACTATGTAATAATTAATCTGTGATCTCCATACCTCCCCGAGGAGGCTGTAACCATTCTGAGATTCGATAACGCGGTGTTGGTAAGCCTGTCAGTTATCGTAAATAATTTCAGGGCTCTATCCAATATATATTTTTTGATCAGATCATTCTCAGATGTTCCCTGAGAATGTTTCATATAAATTAACTTTAACGAAATGAAAAATTATTTTGCTTTAATGAAATCAGTCATTAAATGCTATCAATTCCGCAATATGTCAAAACCGCAAATAATTTTTTTTTGAATTTCTTATTATAATTTTGAAGAATTTAATTTAAAAACTATTGAAAATAGTGAACTTTTGGGAAAATAAGAAAAAAATAAAATCTTCAAGTTTCACTTGGTGTGCTTAAAATTTCGCTACTTGTGAGTTGAAGTGTTGAAATTTTTAAAGTTTATTTGTTTTCGTAAATTCTCTTAACCATTAATTGCTTGCACAGAAATCGTTTTAGCAAGTGTTAATATTTCTATTATTTAAGAAAATATTTTGTTAAATTGTAAAATATTTACACAATCTACTTTGTCCGTTTGAGACATAATTAATTTGTTAAAATAAAGCAATTTGGGTTAGACAAAAAATTATTCATCCAAATATTGTATACTCGTATATGTAGACCACAAAAAAAAAAAACCATTAAAACATAAAATTTTATATGAAATTTCTAGACTGAAGGATTATGCCAAGGAATAAAAAAATAATTATAGTTTTCAATATATTTCAAGTTTATTAATAAATTTTCGTCTTGCTGTTAATTTTTTTTTAAAACTGCACATACGCATCATTTTTTTTTTTTTGCAAAACCAACACTTTTACCATTAATATTAATTATTTTATTAACAATAAATGCTTTTTCTTTTTAAATTTTGAAATAAATATTCTACTAAATGGTTTCATAGCCTTTGCGCATATATTGTAGAAAGCTTATACAAGTTCATTTAATTGTTAAAAATATAATAAAGAAGATTTTGGATACTATATACGTATACCACAAAAACTTTTGACCAAAAATAACTTTATAAGTAAAAATAATTTTATCAAATTGTCTTTATACATTTTTTATCCAGCTAAAGGTCACCTATAGATCACCGGAAAAAAAAATAGGTCGATAAATATATTCCAAATTTTATAATTTTACCACATTTTAATATTATGCATAATAACTAATAATATATTTAACCAAAATCTATATATAACTTTATTCTATATTCATATTTATCAGATTATCGGATATTATTGTAAAAGTGACACATACTTATACTCCTTGAAAAAGAAAGTCATGGTAACAAAGCCATGGACTTGGATGCAATCTAGTACTTTCAATTGCAATTAAAGTTTTAATTATTGAAAGGGTTTCGAATAGCAAAGAAAAAAAGTACAAACACAAAAATTTTTAGTTAATTTATTGAAATTTGGCTGACCATCTCATTTGAGAGGCACGAGTTCTAAGCCTGGCACTTGTAGACCAAATAAATTATATATGGACTATAAATTAATTAAGAAATTCGAATATTTTCTTAGACCATTGGTGATGAGTACTTGTCCATACTCGAAACAGTGTTGTCTTCCAAATTTCAATAAATTAACTAAAAATTTTTATGTTTGTCCTATGTTTTTTTGCTATTCGAAACCCTCTTAATAGCTTCTTTGTCATTATAAAGAAAGAGTAGCTTTTTCGGCAAAACTAATTAAACTTTAAAAAGTTTTAATTATTCTTATAGTAGTGTCAAAATATCGAGCATTATTTTTTATATAGTGTTATTATTTACTCAATCATATCTACAAAAACATATCTTGTTACAAAATTCTTAAAACGTCATATTCATCATCTTTCAGTTAGAGAAAGAGCTCTTTCTCTTTCTATTTATAGCGAAGTTACAGAAGGCACTATTAAAATTAATAAAATTATGTACAGAAATTATTAGTTTAAAAACCATTTATTTCATTATAGTCATTGATATTTTAATATTTATGACTGATTTATAATACTTTTTGGAGATAGAACTCTTTCTATTTTTTACTTTCTTACAAAAGTAAGTTTTTTTTATGAAATAAAATTATTTTTTGGCGCCTTATAGGCTAAATATTGGCCTAAAGGGATTAATTTCAGAATATATTTTGTGATTTACAACTTCCAAAATAAAACATAAACTGTTTTACTACTTTGTTTTCAATATTTATATTATATTCATATTCCTTTACCAATGTATGCCCTATTCGACTACGTCGGTAACCACTTGCATCTTCTGAACAAATTTCAGACCCTTTGTATAATCCTCACATATCTCATATAATGTTAAGACTGTGTTATTAATATATGCTAAATTAAATATTGTGCTCTATGAAATCATATGTGCTTAACATTTTTAGAATATAAATTATTTTCACTTCAGTTAAATTATATTGAATATAATAAATAATTATACATATATATATATGTATGTATGTTTTTTTTTTTGTGTTTTAAAATGATTTATTACCAATCAGTGTCAAACGTTTTTTTATAGATAATACTGAACTCAATGCATCGATATCAGCCACGTTTTCATATAGTCTACCTGCCACCCAAGAACACCTCGTTGGATGAAAATGAACATACGAGTCATTTTCGTACATTTATATTTCCGGAGACATCATTTACCGCTGTGACCGCCTACCAAAATCAGTGTGTAAGTTTCATATTTTTATTTATTTAGCAAATTAAGGTGCATACTATATAATTCACTCCAATATCGAAGAACTAGAACAGAAGAGTTGTTGCACTTTCCCACCGAAGTTCCAATTCGAAAGGTGTAAAATTAATTCAAAGCTTGACACTAATGAAGCATGTAAGGCATTAAATTAGTGCCCATCTGACTGATGAATTTATGAATTATGTGTTTCATGGATTATTTTCTTTGTGATTAAAATATTTCACAAAATTAATAAAAAAGAATAAATAAAATTTTTAATAGAAGCGCACAAGTTTTGAATTTCTTGTAACATTTGGATTTGTTTACGTTTATAAATTTATTGGATATTTCTTTCGTTTGGACTCATATTTTAGCTGCTTAGCTTTTTGGCTAAGATGCTTGCAGCTTAAATAAATATTAAAAAATTTTAATTTATGAAATTTCGAAAGTATTTAAATTATTTATGTTCTCAAAGATGTTAACAAGAGTTCTTGTTTTTTCTAATTTTTTTGTTTTTTAGAGAAATTGGATAATTAATAATATTTTTTGGAATTTTTCATATGTTTTTAACATTATTTTTTATTATTGGGGTGCTTGATAATTTTGTTTATTTAATTGCAAAATTCAGATATGCTATTTTTAAAAATATTTTAAAAATAATTTGTATTGAAGATAATTGTATTTATAGATTAAATTCTAGAATACCAAATTTCAATTAATTTTTAAAAAATAATTCAATTAATTAATTCCTTCAGGTTACCAAACTAAAAATTGTAAGCAATCCATTTGCAAAGGGCTTTCGAGATGATGGAACTAATGATGTGTAAGTAAAAATCTATATATACATATATATTTTTAATTTTTCTTAATTAAAAAATTATTAAGTCGTGGACAATTTTCAATTAAGTGGTTCACCTATTCACAACAGATTTTATAAAGATAGCTTTTTTTAAAATAATTATTTCAATATGCTTTAGATCTATATATTGTATTGTTTTTATACTGTTTTGTATATTGTTTTTAAAATATCAGGTTAAACTTGGACATTAAGAATAAAGAGGTGGGTGTACTTTTTGTTGAAGTAATAAAGAAATTAAATATTTGTTGAAGTAATAAATTAACAGCATTAAATCTCAATATCTCGAGAAATAAGCTATATCCACATACAGCTTAAAGGAAAAAGTTGCTCAAAACTGTTGAATCTACTACTACTAAAATTCTTTATTAAGTCAAAATTATGCCCTTTAGTGTATAAACTATATAGAATTTATATATAAATTTAGAAAACGCGTGTAAATAATATAGTCTTTAGGAAGCAAATGTTGAAAGAAGATATGTGTACATATACATTCTAATTTTATAATTGTATATATCGTACCGTTAATAATAATTTACTTTTTTTTAATTCCTAAATAAAAAACGTGATTTATGTTCCACGTCTTTAAATAATTTTCAGGATGATGTCCCGTTTGGTAGCAATCATGCGTTCTAAAAATTTCGCATGATTACTCCTTTAATGAAACTAAGCACAGGGCCGAAACACATTTCCTGAGTTCTCTTCGTCTACACTACTAACTAAAATTAAGTTGTTTTATACCTCGCTTAGCGTTCTCACTCTACTGTCATAATACATTTAATGAGATAATTTAAAACTCCGTAAGGTTAAATTATATTGTAGTTTGTGGCTATGAAAAAGAATTTAAGCCAAAGAAATTTCAACCCATAGCAGATTACATGGCGAGATCTTACAATTTCATAATACTTATTTTTAACGATCATGCAATCCAGAATGGTTCCAACCAACTTTTAGACTTACTTCATGAGTATTTTCTTTCATAATAACATAGTTCTACTCAACGATCATGTAATCTCGTGAGTCATGGCTTTGGACTCACTTGATGTTTCATTAAGAAATCCTATAAGTATTCGTCAGTAATAGTAATTGTTGTATTAACTTCTTCATTTTCATCTCTATTTCATCTCTATTTTCAACTATTGTTAAAAAACAGCATTTTAAACTAAGTCTAATTTAAAGTCCAATTTTAAGTTTGTGTACCTTGTGATCCCCACTTATAGTAGTCAGTTCCATTCTTGTTAGTTGCAATTGTAGATATAAATGATTTTTATTTAATTTGCACCACTTCAATGTTGTGGAATTATATACGTATATGCTTTCATTTATACAACAAATTTTCAATCTTTTGAAAGATTCAATATTTTTTAAAATACTAGTTCTTAGAATAATCCAACTATATTATTACATTAGATTTAGATTTTAGATTTGAAAAAAAGGGTTGTATCCTTTGAGTATTACATTATTATTATATTTTTATATTATTATATTATATTATTATTATTGTTTTATTATATTATTTAAATGTGAAACATAGCTGCAGTTCGACAGTTATATTATTATGTTGAAGCTGTTTTGAGCTAGTGCACTTAAGCACTTATACTCTTTTTTTAACTCGAGGTATTTTCAAAACCCCTCTTTGCACCTTGACTAGATTATTGTTTATCACTTTATCAGACTAAGCAATAATTGAACTCAGATCTGCATACCTCCCGGAGGAGCCTGTAACCATTTTGAGATTTGATAACGCGATGTTGGTAACTCTGTCAGTTTTCGCAAATAATTTCACGGCTCTATCCTTTATGTATTTTTATTTTATTATTTTTATTCTATGTTTTATTTATATTGGCATAATATATTTAAATTAAAAACGATTTATCTTTAGTAAGCTCTCAAGACTTATTGTTATAGTTTCTGCTCCAGAAAAAATTTAACAAACATCGAAAATAAAAAAAAGCAACTGAAACTTATAGTTTTGCTATAACAATTAATCATTTAAAGTATGTGCTATATGTGATATATATGTACATTATATATTTTTGACTTTAAATGCATTTTGACCCACTTATGAAACATAATCAAACCAGACAAACTGTCAGACAAATCAAAGATATTAATGTACATATGTTAGTATGCGGAAGATAGCCAGCTACATAGGATAGATAGAAATGATAGGATAGATACGATATCACAAATAATTAAGATTAAAAAATTAGAATTCATAAAGTAAACAAAATAACTTAACACTTCAGTTCTTGATAAATAAAATTTTGAAAAACAAATCTTTTCTTAGAAAACTCAACAAAAATTCTTAAAAAGGGCTAAATTTGTTATGATTAATGTATCTAAAGAGAAGCATAAGATAAACACAAACCTTAAAGCAAAGCAAAAAATCCAACAAAAAGTGCCACTGTTGTTAAATGAATAAACAAATCAAAATTTTTGAAATTTGAAATAATTTTTTTTTTATTTGAAAATTGTTTATAAGTTTTTTGTTAAAAAATTATTAGAGCATCAATCAAATATTGTTTAAATTGATAACTGCATTCTTTTGAGAAAATTTCTTACTAATTTTAGGCCGAATAATACTTTGGGCATGTCAACAATGAGTCACGAAACTCAAGCAAGAATGAAGCAACGTAACAACAATCAGCAACAAACGCAACATATGCAACAGCAACAATTGAAAGCAACAACCTCTAACAATAAAGATACTAACTTAAGTGAGTTATTTATAATATATTTTTTTTATATATATAACCCAATAAACTTATCAATACCCTATATTGCAGTAGTTGCTGAAATGGAAAATCATCAAAATGCGCTTATCTCACATGTAAATGGACATAACACAACAAACGGCACTAGTTTGACATCTCCCACTGGTACATCGCCAGAATTGCTTAATTATCAATGCCTTTCGAATGGAAACGTACCCAACAATAACAATCTATCTATGCATACTAACACTCAACATAATAGTGATTCACCAAAAATGGATACAACACCGGCGCATATGAACTCACCCAATTACTCCCATACGCATGCTGCAAACAGTGGTGGCATAATGTCTCCACATCACACACACCATGCACATTTGAATATGAATCTCAGTAGCAATCAGGTAGTGCAGTCACCACAGGCACACACCACACACTCACTGGCAAATATATACTCCTCCATTGGTCAGCCATATTCATCGGATAATAGCAATTATGGCGCTATCTATCATCACAATCACTACCATCACAGCCACAGTTATGGTGCTCCATATGATAAAATCAAAGTGGGTGGTGGTCATAACATGCGCACAAGTTCTGCTGGTGCCGCAACAACTGCTGTCTCGCCTTCAGCGAATCCTTATGCCATGAGCAGTTATCAGTCTTTCTACGGTTCGCCGCATCAAATGATGCGACCAAATGGCTACATTGATTTGGTGCCAAGGTAGGTTATTCTGTTATTCTGGACTATTTTCAATATAATTAATATCATTTTGTAGATAAAATTTTAGTTATACTTAATATATTTTTTAATTATCTTCTCATAAAGTATTAATTTTATTTTGTTTATAACGAAAATAATTAAATTTATTGTTAAAAGCAAGTACTTACAGCTAAAAAAACCAAAAATATTTGTATTATGTCAGTTATAATTAGTTTATAGACATATTCACACTTAGTATTATTATATGTATATATAAGTTTTAAAAATTGTATGTATAAAATTTGTAGATAGAGAAATAAATTTTAAAAATACTAAAATTTTATTTAATTGTTTTTCATTTAAGCGCTAGGACAAATGAATAATTTTTTTCATATATATCGTATCTATTTAAAATGTGAGATTCATCGTACGTTTTAATTATATATCTTCATAAGTCTTACAAGAGAAGTAGAGTCATAACTAAACATTTCCATTAAACCCATCGCGTAACTATATTTCATGTTTTCTCATAAAGTCGTAGCTCTACTTAAATTTATCTCTGGCTTGTGTTGTATGAACGTCCGGATCTTTTGCTCTGCCTTGAGAATTTCTTTCATTCTTTCTTCGGTGATTTTCGGTTATTGGTGTTTGACTAATTCATAACTATGTCTAAGAAAATATTTTTAAATAAAACAATTATAGAAATAATTGATTTCCGTACAAATCAATTATTATTGATTTTACATAGAAAAATTTTAGTTATTGTAGTAATAAAAAAAACTTACTACTGTTGTACCTAATTTTATCAAATTTACTTAAACTCTATTAGGAGGGACGGAAACCTGAACTTACATACTTATATACTGGTTATTGTTTAGAAGCTTCAGAGTGAGCAGAACACCAGGATATCGGGATATCAAATAAGACTTCTTTTATATCTGTTACTAGATTTATGAATTTTGCTGAATGGAGAGATTTCATACATACCATGGATTTTTACCATATTTCTTCAAGTTTTTTTTTTGGTACCATTGCAGGATTTCTATATTTATACATAAGATTTATAGAGGATCTATATAGGATTTCTTTGTAAAAGTTAAGAAAAAAATATGCTTTGTTAAGCATACATCTATTTAAGTATCTATTTAAAGTAATAGTTTTTTTATGAAGAAAATATTGTAAGTAATCAATTTTTAGAAATGATTTTGTAGGTTAGTTATGTTACTTTCAAATTTCTATATTATTCTGTATTTTATGATGCTTCATGATTTCTATATTATTTTAGTTAACTCTCTTCCACGATTAAATGAATGACTTTTTTAAAAGACTTCATTCTTAGAAAAGTCGGGAGAGTTTGCCTTTTCTGTGAGCGCTAAAATTCCGTCGGTTATACTATATGTATTGTAATAACTTGACTATATGTGGAGTTATTGTTATCAAAACCAAAAAAAAAAAGTCATATATAAAACAAAATTTTAGTATACATATATTGTTGTTGCCACATAAAACTTAATTTCAAAATTTTGAAACAAAAATGGCCGATAATATTCACGATTGGTTAATCTATAGCTGATGTATTTAATCTTAAAGTGTACGTTTAAAATGCATTGTTTATAATTAAATCACTTGAGATAATAATGAATGTCTTCTTGGCAGAGAACCTGTGCATTCTTAGTACCATAAACAATGCATATGAATACGTACGCACAATGTTTTTCTAGTGATTTTATGGAGGAACTGAAGAAACAGAACACCTTCCGATTTCGAAACAGAATTTAATTAGAAGCAGGCAGGCGTGTGCGTGGTTAATATAAACAAATTATTTGATTTATACTAAAAATTTAAGGCAAGATGAGGAAAACTAAAATAATTTGTATCGCAGGCGTGGTTTATCTCAAAAGGAGTAAACAATAATTTTTTTTTGATCAAATAATTTGTGATCACTGCATTAATTAAATTTATATTACATTCAAATTAAATTAAACCTTATAATATTTATAGGGACCGCATACGGATCGCCGCTAATATTTATGCGGCCCGCGAGATGTTTTTAATCTGCTACAATTACTCAAATTTTCTTTTGGTATACTGGTAAAACTACATTATTTTATTTTTATTGCATACCAAATAAATGAATTTAAATTGATAAATTTATAAAACTAAATTTAACATTATAACCGTATTTTAATATTTGTCGAAAAGAATTATGAACGTATGTATTTATTTCTGCGGCCCTCCAATCTGTATAGTGACTTGTATTGGCCCGCGATTGCATCTGCTCTGAACAGCCCTGATATTAATGATTGTAATTAACAAACAAATGAAAAGTATTGAATGATCGTATTAGAAATAGCTTAAAAAGTCTGGATAAATGAAGTTCAACGTCAAACTACTAGCTAAGAGCTACAATATCGATGATGGCAGATTACTACGTGTAAGGAATACATGCGCTGAGACTTGGTCTACCCCATAATTACGTTTATCATGTTTCATCAAGAGTGTCAGTGCTCTTCTGTGGTCAGCTGTAGATGTAGTATCTTTGAGCTCCTTTGCTCACCAAGCTAACAGGGCTGTCATGCTTTCAAATTAGGAATGTTGACAAGTTTATTAACTTGTTAGGTTGTGTCTATTCTTTTCGACCTTTTCCATGTATAGATCGCTTTGGCCTTTATAGTTGATTTGGTGGTCATCTTGGTCTGACGCAGAAACAACTTTTTTATCCGTAGTATCACAACGAACTGTTATAAGTACTTGAGTGGGCTTTCGTATATGCTAGGAATTTTGAACATCATAGCATTTGTTTGCGGTATAAAATATATATTTGTCTATCATTAGTTATTATAATATATTAATGAAAAGAGTTAGAGAAAAATGTTTTCCAATTAATAGATGGTTATAACAGTTTAAAATTTTTTTAAATTTATAAAGTATTCAAAATGCCACAAATCATTCCTTTTTAAATACCAAAAAAAATATATCTATTTGAAGCACAAACTTTTCATACAAAACGAAAAAAGAATATTTTTAAGGAGAATATATGAACATAGTATTTTAAATTAAATAGTATCGGATTATCGTCAAAGGTAAGTTCTGTTTTAAAACCTGTCAAAGAAGATGATTGACAACTATAACAAATCGTTTAAAGACGAAATAATATTAAATGTCACAATATTCCTAGCAATGAGCACGAAGCTAAGAATAGTATAATTAAGATATAAAGTAGAGCCAGAAAGATCATTAGTAAAAATGTGATATATTACTTAAATATACTTCCTCTATGAATTAATAAATAGTGCTGATTTGGCTTATTTGAACTAAAAATCATTTATAAACAATTTCATTAATAAATACACAAAAAATCTTATAAATACTGAATATCAAAATTCACAGAAAATATTTATAAAATAAACGCTTTCAGAAAAGCCTTAAATTAGTTAATCAGATGACATTGTCTATTTCTATTATGGATAAATATTATTATGACACTCTCGTTCTTTGCATAAATCGACAAAAAATATTCAAGAAAAATATTAGAAAAACAAACGCACAAAATTTATAGCTCATCATTTCCTCTCAACCCCTAAATATTTTGAAATGTACGCAATTTTAAAAAAATAAAAATAAATTAAATAAAATTTGTCTCCAATTAAATTTCGTACCAAAATCATATTTTTTGGAAATGTTGTCCCATAAATCGTAGTTTGAGTGTAAACAGATTTGTTTATTTAACCGAGCGTCATTTGTCACACACGACTTACGGCACTGAAGGCATACATTTACTCCGGTGAACACTCTCAAGTGTCCAAGCGGCACCCTGCGGTGCACACGCCAAATAATTGTTTTGATGCCACTGTAATACAGTGTGGTAGGTCCTGGATAAAGGCTGACACTGTATCAGATCTTCACTGACTCGCCTTGTAAACAAAGTGAACAGAAAATTGGTATTTTGAATTTGTTTAAATTAGTAGGAAGCGCCTAGGAATTTTTTTTATCATTTCCAAGCAAAGTTTCACATGACAGCTCCAAAAATATTGAAACTTTTTACTTATTCAGGAGTTTTTTTTAGCTAATCTTAGTGAAATGGTAACTCATGTTGAGATGATACTGTTTCATAAAGAACACAAGAGGCGCTACGTTTTATGACAAGTCATTTAATTAATGGAATGTCTGGAAAATTTGAAACTAGTTGAAATAATGGATTATTTTTCATTAATTTTTTTTATTTTAATATAACATCAAATAAAGTATAGAAAGCGGAGTCAAATGTCAAAATTTTCTCATTAGTATCCTACGATTATTAACGGTTAGTTATTTTTATATATCTTTCATTGAACCGACGGATATTTTAGAACTTAAACATGAGAATATGAAAAGACCTGTCAATAGTTTTACTTTGGATCTGTGTTATGTTAGAAAATTTTCTCCATAGATTTTAAAATCTATGGAGGACCTAAGCCTGTTTAACAACAGTCTTCCATTCTTCTCTGTTTTTTATCTTTGTTTTCTAATTTCTTATGTTCATATCTTCTAAGTCCTGCTAAATTAAAACATTGTTATTATTGTTATATACCGAAACATTTAAATCGAATTTAAAACAGTTTTATTTAAAGTGTGTGAAACTGATAAAATAAATAATATAGTTTATTATCTATTTGATAAACCATCCCGCATTTGCACTAAAAAATTACGTCTATCATAATTTTGTATTATGCAAATAATATAATCTTTGTTCACACTTATTTGATAGATTTACGAGCGAAGTATAATAAAAGCTATAATACAAATGTCAAAACCTTTACAGTCCGCAATCAACAAAGAGCCCAGTTCTAAAATATGCTTATAATGAAAAATATTAATTATCTTAAAAGCGTAAAGCGATATCTCTTTACCTTTGTTTTTAACGTTACAAAAATAAATACTTTTATAAATATTTTATGATGCACTTAACTATAAATTGCATGATCATTCCAGGCAGAACAATTCATCTAGGACTTGGATCTGTTGATGCTTGCCATCAATATATGATTTTTATTGGCTATAGAAAGTTCTACACACTGTGCTTTTGATTGTGTCTTAGTTCTTCGTTTTCATCTTTTATTTGTGATTTAGTTATTATGTTATCGTGTTGTTGTTGTGGTTTCTGAAGTTAGTGCTATTGCGCAGTTTTACTCTTTTGTGGCTGGGGAATTTATCCCTGCCCCACACGGCTATAATTATGCAGGAATTTATATCGTTTATTTATCTTTTAATTGATGACGGACCGTAGGTCAGCATATCTTCCTGTGGGTCCTGAGCTGGACTTAACTTTTGAGAATAATTTTAGGGCTCTAGGTCTGATATATTTTTTCACTGAGTCGATCCTTAGATCTCTGTGTATGTCTGTAGTTCTTATATACCATGGAATCTTAAACTATTATTTAGTAATCATCTAGTAAAGGTTATGCTAAGGTATTGAAAAAAAATTGACTGTAAATGTTTTGATAAGCAATAAAAAATATATAGATAATAAATATATAGATACGACAATAATATTATTGAACATTGATGTATAAACTGACTTTATCCTTTACAAATGCATACATATTTCATTAGCTTATCTGAAAAATAAATACAACCGTCAATAGTTTTGTCGCTCAAATTTAAAATTTGATATTGTATAATAGTTTGACAAGAAAAAAATGTTCTATTGATGGCATCTGTAAACTATTTTTTCTTCCAAGTTCAAGTGGATCGAACTGAGTAATCTTTGATGTTTTCGATTCAAGTGAGTAACGCCTTTTTGTTATGGTTTCCCCTTTTCAGGCATATATTACCTTTGTTCACATTTCAAGTGGACTCATTATGTAGGAGTATATGAAGCACAAACACATGATTCCGTACTCGTATTTCTAAGCGGTAAAAACTCAAAACCCCTTTTCGTTTAGTTGATCGCATAATACTGCTTAAGAATTTATATACATAAATACATTTGATAAATACAAAAGTTGATCATTACAATATATTGTACATAAGTTTTTATTTTAAATATATGAAAAACAATTTTACTAGATTTACTCAGTGAATACTGAAGGTGAATTACTAATAAAGCAAATTTTTCACGCACTTAACATAAGTGAACGCTGTTGACAACATTTCGCGATTTTAAATGTTAAGCTTGTGCTTCCCTGCTTCTTGCTGACTTATATGCCTTGAAAGCTGTTGATGTGGCCATTGATGTAATGGTGTGATGTAAATAAGTGAGAAGTATGCAATATTTTATGAGGCATAAAAGGCAGATATATATAAATATGTGTTTTATGACACAAATTGTTGCAATTTATGGCTTTTTCTTGAATACAGTAAGAATAATACGACACTTATTTTAAGAATTAAAGGATTTTATTTAAGTTTATGTAGACTTAATTTTTAATTCATTGATACTCATTTAATTTTTATAAATACATGATTTAAATTAATTAATTGATTTGATTATAAATAGATAATAGTTTGTTACTTATATCACATTGAGGACAGTACAGATATGTCATATGTCTCATGTCATATGAAAAGAAATCCATTTCGAATAGAAAATGGTGATGATAGGGAGAAAATTTTCAAATCCAAAAGAAATTGTTTTAATTACCATATAGATTTAATTGTCTATTTATTAATAAAGGTTTTGTTTGAGTTTTATGTCATATGAAAAGAAATCCATCCCGCTATCCAGCGCTTTCAAAATAAAACATTACGTTACATCGTAAACGCTCCATACTACATTAGAAACAGTGATCTCCACCGTGACTTTGGCCTGCCAACAGTCGACGACATGGCTAAAAGGTATGCCGTTGAAAACACATGTCAACGTTACAGCATCAAGTCTTCTCCAGACGGTTGCAGTATCTAGACGGCTAAAAAGGGAAACAGTGGGAGACCTAATGGACAACTTGTAGCAAAATAGCTTCATTTTTACCTTAAATATTCCAATCAAATTGCTTATTAGTATCTCTTATTTGTTATTTATACTAGGCACAATATTAAAACAATTTTTGTCTATATTTTAAGAATCGTTAATAAAAAAATAAAAATAAAAAAAATATGAAAAGAAATCTATTTTGATTAGAAATTGGTGGTGAACGTAAAAAAAAATTTCAAATCCAATTCCTTCTGAACGGTTGTGTTAATCAAGTAAACCCTTGGGCTGACCATATAGCTGTTCTGGATATCGCCAAATATACATCATTATAAAATTTGCTCACATTAAGATTAAATTTTTTATTAATATTCTGAAATTTGTGTGTCTGCATATAAATGACTATATTAAAATATTGATTTTCGTGCTACTTTCTTATGAAAAAAAGTTCAAGGAACATTTCAATTGTGTATCTTTAACCGATGAGTAATTTCTTTTGCCACAGCAAGTATTAAATTTTGCTCACAGATGAATTTGACTACCCCAAATTAATACCGCAGGGAATATTAACAAATTTTTGTATTAAATTTAATTGTTTTCATTTTCTCGTTAATATCATTACTCAAATAATAAATTACTTTTTCATTCATTTACTGCAGCTCATCAATTAACGCAGCATCATCTGTGCGCACCAAGATTGGCGACCAACTCGTTCGAAATACGACAATGTCAGCAATTAAAACGAATGACGCCGCTCAGTCTTGATTCATAGGAAATTGAGCGCGTAATTCAAATTCAAGCACAAATAAAAATTCGTAATTAAACCGCACTCCTCTCCCAATCTCCCATACAAGAACTATTCAATATTTATGTTGTGATCAACCAAATAGGAAGTTACAGGCTATAAAAATCGGTGGCACGTTTGCTGCAAATGTTTATTAGTTCTCTGCCTTCACAGAACTTCACAGAACTTCCAGACTTTGTCATTTTCTACATGAACATTCTGCAGAAGTGTTGAAATGTTCGGTATATTAATGTTATCGATGACAACGATGTTGTGTGCATAAAAACCATTAAAATGCAGCGCCTAAAATGTGCGACTCCCAATTTAGTCGTGAAGTACGCTTCATCGTTGGAGAGCCTATGGAGTACTCCGAAAATAGCATAAACAAAAAATAATATTTAGAAAGCATATTTCAACTTTCAAAAACATTAAAGGGACAACAAAAATTATGAGAATATTATTACCAACTGTTAAAAGATTTGTGATTCGCATATATGTTCCTACAAGCGCATAATACACGCACTTCATATTGTAGACAATATATAGTACCAGCAGTTCGGAGCATAGCAGATGCACATTAGTCTCGTCAATATTGAGACATTTAGAGTTATTTGTGTAACAATTTTATGATTAAAAAATTAATAATTTAAAACTTTCTAAATGTAATCCAAATTCTTAGTTTAAAAAATTGGAAATATTGTTTAGTTTCTATTAAAAATTGATTCAACTAACCGACTGTGATGTTTGTAGTACAGAGAAGTTTACGAAAAACTATGTTTCCAGTACAACGAGTCACTAAAAGCATAGCAGATTTTTTTTTTCTAATAACTGAACTTTACCTACATCCTGTAATGTAAGGGACCTGGTCAAGTTTATAGAACTGTCAGGTTAGTTTTCCTTCACCGAATGTGGGAGTCGTTACCCTTTTCGGCATTGGCTGTATACTGATTTAAATCTATGTACGTAACAATGCTATTCCTATGGTATCACAATGGGCCATTATTTGAACTCAAGTGGGTTTTTTGGAAACAAGGCTGTCACTTCAACCTACCTATTTTACCTAGTAGACTACATTGTCTTGCGAATAAATGTCAGAATGTGTTATTGGAAATAGAAGCTGCCAGTCCGATATTTTTCTCCTATGCCAGATCACATACAGACAGTCCTATATAATGTAACTAAAAATCTCGTTTTAAGTAGAAATCATATTCTGTCACATGTTATATTAATTTTCATATCATTTGAGAAAAATATAATTATTAACCTAATAGCATTAAGATAATACTAAAAATTAAGATGAGAAAACTTCTTAAAACAAGCAAGTTAAAAGAAAGTACTTCAAATCATTCTTTATTTTTTTCTTAGCTGGTCGTAAAAGTCGTATATAGTCCTTGGCTGCATACAGTAGCCTCCGTCAGTTAGCTAAAGCCTACGCCAGGCAATCAGTCAGGCGGCTTGTCGCAAGTTACTAATACAGAATGCGGTATATTGATATTTATATTATAAATATCAATATATATTCACTTTTTCAGTGGAAAATGATTTACTAGTTTTTCTTAGCCTCGTATTAACTTTTAATATTACAAATGATATAAAACTGCAAATTTCCACATTTTCAAAATTTTGTCCAACATATTTTTTCATATAAAAGGAATGCGAGTAGTAGGCTTTACATTTCTTCTTATTGTACTGGTCGCGTTCTTCAGTACAGTTTCTGTATTACTTCTGCCTTCTGCATATTAATCTGACAAAATTTTACGTTGAATTTTTAATTGGTTATTCTAAATTTTAGAGTTCCCCTATGATATAAATCAATGTATGTTGAATAACTGTTTTATAATTCTAAATTTGCATTTTACTCACCACATAGTTAAAACCAAGCATCTTGTATACAGCGTAAGTAGAATGTTCATTAAACCGTTTAAAGTTTAAATCTAATTCAAAATACATTTCAGAAAAATCCAGTACATATATATTACATATATTATTATATCTGGGCTTGAAATCAAAAACATAACACTTTTAAGTCAAAATGGAACTTCTCAAAATTTATTAATCATTAGTTAATCATTAGTTTACCAATATCTAAAATTAAGCAAAAATGTCATTAATTATATTTTTAAACGTTATTAAAGAAAATATTTCCATGTAATAAGTATAATTAAAATTACAAACTGCTTAAAATAATTATTTAATATTTAGACAATTCTAATAATAATTTGACATTAAGAATTGTTGAAGAAGCATATAATTTAAATTAATTACAATTTTTAAAATAAATGTGTAAGCAAAAAGACATACATATATTGTCTTTTAGTTTAATATTGTGTTCTAAACACTATATATTAACTATATATATAAAAATATATATTAAGCATGTGTGAACGTCATTTGTTCTTTATATAAAATATTTCAAATATACGTTAGAACTGAAAATAAATAAATTTTGTGGAATGTGGAACTTGGGATACACGTGAGATTTGGCAGCACTTCAATGTGTCATTGTCAGCTGTAGATATTTGTAATCGAAAACTTAAAGTGAAATTTTTGTTTTTTGTTTATTATAGACAAAATGTCTGAAACTCCAAAAACTCCAGGAAGTTTAGCAGTAGCAAATATAAAAAGTCGTGATAATGCTTTAGTTGAATTTAAGCGGCCTATTGGTACAGTGAAGAAAAAACAAAAAATACTAACAGAGGAAAAGTACATAGAGGTGTGTTAAAAGGCTTAGTTGTGAAATATTCATTTTGAAATTATTTTATTTTATAGGAACTTTCGAAAATTATACAGCGAGATTTCTTTCCTGATTTGGAAAAATTACGTGCCCAAAATGATTATCTCGATGCTTTGGAACGAAAGGATTATGCACAAATGGAAATTATACGCTCAAAATTCAGCGGACGACAACCAACAGCTCGAAGTCGTTGTAAGTATTTAAATTAACTTAGGAACAATAATAATTATTTATAATATAAAAAAATGTTTTTCTATCAGCTATGACGCCAGATACTTTTGAAACACCAACTAGTAACATTGGACATACACCACGGAATGAGTCACATGGAAATGATACCCCAAAATCTACATTATCGACATCATCAAATAAATTGGAAAATAGTGTAAAATCCTTGTCAGATAAACATTCACTTGATTCATTTCTACAAGCATATACCAGTGAAGATAATTACAGTTTTCAAGAAATTATTGATACTGCAGAACAAAAATTGCGCGAAAAGTTTTCAGTACTATACAATGAAGAAAAAATCTCTGCGGATAAACTAGCACGTGCACTTACTTTGCCAAGTATAGAAAAGCAATTTGAAGATCCAGATCCAATGAGAAAAGTATGTACTCACAAATATTTTAAATATATTTTTAACTAAGTAATTATTTTTAGATTGAAACATGGACCTATAAAAATATGAATTCTATTATGTATATACCAGATGGTGTGGAACTGACTGAAACAGAACGCGTTGAAGCTGTTAATCGGAAGCAAATTATACAACACAATGCAACACGGCTTTCAGTAAATCCATTCAATGAAGAATTAAGCCAGAAGACTGTTACGAATGCAGCCCTTAGTCAAGCCACATCAACAAGTGAGAAATTTGGTGTCGATGGAAAAATAGTAAGCAAAGAACAAACACCACAAATAAAGGGTTTTAGTTTAGTAAAAACACCTTCGCCCAGACCGGGTGATGCATTTTCGCCATTAATGACATGGGGTGAAGTAGAAGGAACGCCATTTCGTCTAGATGGCTCTGATACGCCAGTGCGTTCAAATGCAGGTCCCTCATTTAAAATAAATGAGAACTCACGACGAGAAACTATTGCGCTTGAATTGGCTGAAAAAGTTGGAGAGAAAATGCGTGCACAAAAACAGCGTGCAATGGATACAGCCAGAAAAAATATTAATTCACCACTCATACGTAACAATATAGATAGATTAGCATCAATGTCACCTGCAGCACGTCGTTTTGCAACCACTAAGTTGGGTTTGCGTACGCCGTCCATGACACCTTCCCCATTACGAACACCAATCGCAAAAACAAAATCCAAAGCACATCTAGCGATGGTAAAAACAAATCAAACGCACAAAACACCTGTAACCAATCCAAATACTCCCTCATCCGCAACGAACACACCTAAACAAATTAGTGACAAAACATATTTGACAGATGATTTGTTAAATATTCCTACAAAACGCCTAAAAGCTGCAGATTTCTTTTAATTATTTAATTGAATGTAAATAATTTTTTCTTTGTAAATCACATTTTCCAATAATCATTAAAAAAAAACTTTATTTTAATAAGTTTACATTATAAGAATTAAAAAATTGTGACTTTCGATTAAGAAAATAAGCTAACTAGCACCTTCTTACTAAGCACCTTCGCTTCCATATTTTGTTTATTTCACATGTATATTAATCCCAATAATCAACGTGATCACCTGAGTTGAAGTTTCCTGATTCCAAAATACTTATGAATTTGGCAGTAGTTTCTGTAGTTGTTAACATTGTTTTTGTATCCCTCTGTTGCTTAAAGGCCGCTGAAAGATCCTCATTAATAGTTTCTTTTTGCACCAATTCTGTCATATCTGTATCAATTGCACCAGGTGCGTAATTAAGTACGATGGAGTCTTTTGTCTCCTCAACAGCTAGAACACGAAAGTACATATCTCTAGCTGCTTTGCCGGAGCAATAAAAGCTCATTGAAGCAAAAGGCTCAATGCCACACTTTGAGCTCAAATTAACCACCAATTTGGGCACACCAATAAATTTTCGATAGAATTCGCAGTTCAATGAAACTGTAGAAAACAAGTTCAAATGATAATATTCGGTCCAGGCTGAGGTGTCTGAAACATCAACAGCACGTTTGGAGACATCACCAACAGAGCCAGCGTTGTGTATAATAAAGGCACGTTCAAAATTTTTACCTTCTTCATCGGAATCACTAAGCGAATGATGCAATATTTCTTCAAACTCCGATTCTTTGGCCTTTGTAAGATCAATTGAAAATATGCATACTTTCAAATCTTTTTTCAAGGCTTCAATAGCAAGTTTGGTTTTATTTAAACCATCGACACTTCGTGCTAACAATACAACAACAGAACCCGCTTTCAGCTTTGCTGCAATTTGTATGGCCATGGTTTGTCCAATACCACGTGAGGCACCTGTGATTAGAAAATAAGTTTTCTGTTCCAAGTCTAATACCATGTTTTTTTTTTTTTTTGATATCAAGTTAATTCAAAAAAAAATTCTATACTAGACACTTGTTGCAATACAGAATCACCGCTGAGCGACTACTGAAAACCATCTGTGCTTTTGTGCAGTTGAAGTAAATACCTCTCCACTTCTCCCATCGCCTTTCAATACAAATCCGGACCAAATCCGCGCATTTTCTCAACGCTGATTCATAAATCGCCTGAATTGAATTTATTTTTATTGCTTCGCTCTCTTTTTATCAATTCACAAAGCTTTGATAAGCTCGCACTCTTGCTTACCAAATTATAAATTCAGAGATTCAGTGTACCGTAAAAGAGGGGTGTTGTGGTAGGTTACATGTGTGAAAAAGTAAAATACTTAAGTCAACAAACGCATTGAGATATTTTAA